TGACTATTTTTCACTTCCATTCACCTCATGTCTTCTGCAAGATGGTTGGACGCCGTATTTTTTTAGTCAAGTAACGGAGCGAGGGCTCTGTTTCCATGTTTCCGTCATCTGCACGTTAGGAAGGCCTGACATTCCCTGGGCTCCGGGTTCGGCCAAACTCTCCCATATGATCATTATTATTTCTCTTATATCTTATGATCCCGTTTGTTCAGCGGGAAACTTCTTTACTCTTTACGATTAAGGCTACAATAATAGATGCATACTATTTTGAGTTTTTTATAACTCGCTTTTCTTTGTTTTCATAACGATACAAATTAATTCCAAGAAACACACAAAAACTTTTGAAGCATTTGTATTAGATCTAGTGACTCCAACATTGAGTAAGTGAACCAAAAATTAGATGTAGCCAGGAAAAAGTATTGAAGAAACCACGCTTACAGACCTTGCAATCACCACAAGCACGGGGATCAAGGAAAAGTATGGCTGAAAACAACCGCTTGCCTGACTCAGTATTTTTGCGACTTGCTAGTGGTCAGCTGCGCGGCGGTACCGTAATCTGGAGCAAGTGCGACTAAGGTTTTCTCGTGCGCTGAACACTGTTTTGTGTCTTAATAGGATCTCCGATGAGCCTCGCATAAACCCCAGGCCATCGAAGTATGTGCCCTCGTGGGTGCTCAAATTATGGCATGAATGAATGGGATTAAGACATCGGAGATAATTCACAAGATTCCCAGCTCGTCAGCAAAAGGCTTGCCCTTCCTTTATTTGTGGAGAGGTCAGCTTCTGGATAGTTGATGTACAGAAACGATATAGGGTTTTCATGGAAACAAGGTCAACTGTTGAATTTATCAACATTGAATGCGAGAATTCAGATGTGGAGCACAGTTCTACGCTTCAACGTGTACATCATTTTCACCTTTGAGGGAGAGGCTCATAGTCACCCATCCGGATCCAAACTACTCGAATTTGGATTCGATCTGAAATGCGGGTGACTATGGCGTCTCCCTAGATGATGCTGTGACGCCAATCGGTTGTAGGATTTGTTCACAAAAAGCTTGCAACAAACACATGTTTAGTTTTTGTGATTAAGCCAAGAAGAATATTATAGCATTTATTCGGCTAACGTTTCGGCCTAATCGCTTTCGTTTGAGCCTATAAAATGAGGAACATCAGCAATTAATCAATCTCCCAAACATCTTATCACTTGCAGGAAAAAGTCTAAGAAGTTGAATAGATTCCCGTTAAGGCCTAGAACTTTTAGCTCACCTTTTGTTGTCAGAATGAGGTTTAACCACCTCTGACTGGAATGCGCTAACAATGAGTGAAGCAAGTCTCTGGAGTTTACGCATAGATCAGAACTTGTATAACTTCATTGTTTAACAAAACACATGTTTTTCAAAAGAGGTCAGAAAACATCACAAACGACCCATACCTGAGACATTATTCAAATGAAGGTAGGTGAGATTGGAAGACTAGGGAGCTATGCTCATGACCAACAAGCTTGCTCTTCTTATTAGATTGTAACCCCATCAGAGTAAGCGTACCCCTCTCCCAAGTCATGAACCCAGTGCATTTTTGCATGTGAAGGATCCTCGTTCCTCGGTTTCATTTGTGCCAACAATTTTGCAGAGATTAGAGAAGGGTGGAAAGGTGTCCGTCACGCAGTAGAATCGCTCTTCGTAACTAGTTTGTAGTGTCTTCGACAAATTATGCGTATACCGTGCATCCGCTACAGTAACCCGCAACGGAGAACTCAGAAGAATGTTGAGCTGCGGTCCCAAACCGCACGTTCGTTTTGTGGAAAATATCGGAATGTTGTCGAAAAGATTCAATAGCTTTTGAGGCAGTGCTCCCAATTTGTAGCCAAGAGTAACTACTGCATCTTTATTATGATGGTTACAGTGACTTTTTGAAATAAGAGATTCACTAAAAGAAAGATTTACAACTCCATCAAGCTAAGTATTCTTTCTAAGAGCTTAAAATTTGAGGACAAAGATCTATGCATACTTTATTCTCAAATGGAAGTCCTCTGGATAGTTCACCGTTTCCAAGACATCATTTAGTCAGTCACTCAGTCACTCCTCCGTCACTCTTGCAGATTTATCCGATGAACATATTTCGAGTCCACTTTAAAGGTAATTTTCAAGTCCTTTGAACAGAATTTACTTGAGGCCACGCAGGATACTGTAAACTCTTTAATCGTCTGCTTTCATGAGCGTATTTGAAAATGTCTCCAAAAAACTGGTGTTATGCGTTGTCTACCTTCAGACTTTCTTTTCCAATTTCTTCTCGTTCTTATAAGAATGATCACTGTCTTTTGAAACAAAATTTACGAAAGGCAGAAACCGTAAATTTCCCAAATCAAGCTAACTTTGAAAATGGCAAGCCCATTTTCCTAGTGTTACCAATGTAATGCGTTTTTCTGAAAACCAAGTAATATAACATCTTCCCCCCTCCTAGCATGTTATTTTCTACTCTAGGTCCTGTGAAGGAATACTTTTTACATCTGTGTGCAAACTTCTTACAAAGTAGGTAGGTAATGTAAAGAATGAAGTACGAGTTTGGATTGTAATTCTGACAGCTCTTTCTGAAAATTGTTAGCTAGCTGCTTTACTGTTTATCGCAGCCCAATTGAGCCGCTCTCAAACTAATTGATTCACTTTTGATTGAGACAGTTACGAAGGCATTAGTACATATAGATTATTGCTCCAGCAGATTTTCATTAGCCGTTTCTCGATTGCGTAAAATGCGTTTTTCTAAAGCGAAGAGCACACTTTTGAAAAGTAATAATGTGTCAATGCTGCAGGGAATTTCGAAAGCATTCAATCTTAGACAAACATTATGAGACTTCGCAGCCACAAGAAAATACCCAGAGAATAAATGAAGTTATTACTTCATCGGTTGCAGCATAGAATGAGCTCTAGCTCTTGATAACATACCGAAATCAAACAATCCAAGCTTTGAACTATTGCAGAATTACGAGCTCAGAGTCTTATAAAAGTTGCGCTCTTTTAAAAGCTTAGGTTTTCTTATCCCATTGATTTCGTAGAGCAGCGGATTCAAACTCTAAAGGCTTGTCTCCTAAAAAAATTTGTCAATCCTCCCAAAAAACTTTTTTTTTGAATGAGCGGCAGTCTCACTACAATACCTAGCGATCTAATTCGAGTTCGTTGCAGTTTTTCTCAGGCTCGCTAGTGGCTTTTTCTTTATTATCATTCACTTCCGAAATTGTGCCGAAGTTGCTAATCTATTATCGTTACCTTGCTCCAATTTCATTAATTCTTAAAATTGCCTTGGTGTTTGTGTGGTTGAGATGAGAGCAACCACAAAGCTTGAAAAGCATTTCCTTTGAACTTGTCGAACTTCAATAACTTCAATAATTCTGTACGCTGAACAAATGCTTTGCTCACAAATTTCCGAAAGTTTTTATACGGCTATCCCTTTTTGGTGCTCTGACGACACTAGTGAACGAGTTCCGTGATTTATCAGATGCTCGAAAATATAGAGTGTAAAGTTACAGTAACGTTGCAGTTCAATTCAAAACAAAAATAATTGAAGGAGAGAGTGCATTACGGTAGTCTGTGAGTACAAACATTCGATTTTTAATTGTTCGCTTTTCAGCGAATGTTGATAATCTCTCAGATGATCCTGCAAAGTTGGTTACCATAAGCCTTACATAGTGATACTCGAAAATTGCTTTTTTTGCTTTAATCGCATTGTATGTTTACCAAATTTTGTTCAAGGTAATGGCAGCATGTGATTCAGCACTCTCTGACTTCACAATTCTCTATAATGTGCTTGTTGATTTACTACTCTATAAGCATGACGTATTTTTACGGTGCTTCTCGTCTTTCTCAATACCGATGACGTCGGTTCCCCCCCCCCCAAAAAAAAAACAATCTGCACGCTTCCAGCAAGTTTTCCTTGAATTATTTATTACTGCGTAACCTTTTACTCCGATATAAACTTCCCTCCACTCCTTGGATTACTTAATGCATCTTTGTTTCACGACCCGAGTCCAAGAATCAGAAGTCGAGCTTGTCATTTTTGAACTTGGTGCTCTAAAGTAATAAAGTATACAGCCAAAAAGATTAATGTTTGGTTAAAGCGGTTTTATTGGGTCCACTGGCCGCTCAGTAAGATTAATATATCTTAAAAACAACAGCAGTTCGTCTTTTTGCTATACAGCATGCTCAGCTGAGTTTTGAGCTATTTGAAAAGATGATAAAGACCGTTTTTACTGAGCAGGTGATGAAAGCAATGTGAAAAACTTTCTACTGACTGCGTAGCAATCGGGAATTCCTGAAAAAAAAGCCGAGAGCTAAGTTTATTGCAGCAATTTTATCAAGTTGTAAATTATTCAAAACACCTTTACGCACATTTCATGGAGACAAGTCATTTCTATAGCCTATAATTAGATCCAAACCTCATGTACAGGGTGGCGTGTATCGGACTACAGCAGAAAAAGAAATGGAAAATTGCTGGAGTTCTCAATTTTCTTTTTTTTTTCTCTGAAAATAGCTTCTCAGGACGTACGCGAATGCGCAAATCTAACTTTTCCCTTCATTATTCATGAAACCGATGTTCTCCTAACTTGTACTTATACTTATACAGTAATCCCTATACAAATCTGTGTCTAAGTATTTACGGAGTTTCAACTTAAAAAGAACCTTCTAAATGTATAAGATAACTTTCGACAAGATGCTCTTGAATTTTTTGAAATCTTTCGGCTTGCACTTCTGGCAATCTATCAAGGGTTTTTCAAAACTGGAATGCAAGGTCGCAAAATGTCTGCAGATCTGTGTCGCATTTGATATCAGGTCATAAAACCTGCATCGATGTAGATTGGAAACGGAAAAGTATTCTTCTTATTCATAAAGTTGTAACTGAAAAGATCAAGATTTTATTGAAAGCAGAGAACAAGTCACTTTTCAAGATTTCTATATTCCAATATTAAAGTCACATGGCGCACCGTAGATAATTATAAAATTGTTTTTCAGTGATTCCATTTGTCTCAGCTATCAGTTTTCGACCAAACCAATGTTTACCAGCCGTTATGACCTTGCCCAGGTTCTACAGCAGATCAACTCAGGAGCCAATGCTGACGATACAGACCGCTATCATTCAAATTGTTGTTTGACGCAACCTGGCGGTTATGAAAACACGAAGAAATTACGGTTTGATTAATAGATACAGCCTTCAAGGACATCAAATACATTTGAGAAAATAAACACTTTTTTTGATTTGCTTGCTATTCGTTTGCTGGCGAATCGTTTTTATTTCCAAGTAAAAAGAAATGAATCGCACAGTATATCTGGACTAGTTCATTTTCGTAATTTACGAGGTTTTTGATATTTGCTGCATAACCATGCAGTGGCTTTGTCATTTTCTAGGTTCGAGGAAGTCAAACATTTTTAGCACTTGATGAATGAAAATGTTTTATCTTTTGGTTTCAAACGAAGGCATATGCACTTGAATCCTAATGAAGAACAACAACACAAGCTCATATTATTTATAGCACTCTTCCAACGCATATCTGCAGCTAAGTGTAATTTGTTTATAAAGCTAAAATGACATTTGTCATGACTATTTTGAGTTAGTTTACCTCTACGAAAAACAGCAACTATTTTTTACTATCATTCTCGCATGAAACGTGATACTACGCATAGATTAGAAATGTCTTATAAATGCCTAACGTCTTGAAAGCTAAGATTTGACGTTTTAGTCCATAGGTTTTTTTCTTGAAACTCTTTCATCTTAATTCAGATTGAACTTTAGATGTTGAAGAAAGGAAAGTGAAATTCTGCTAAGTTCAGGTGCAAACTTCGCTGAAGCGCTTAGTCCCAGACCGTGAAAGCTGATTTCTAAATGTCGCACATTTCTAAGAAAACCATAAATTTTTAGCTATAAGAGAATGAGACAGGTCTCCAACTATGGTGACGTTATCGGCTAACCATTTTGATTGATTTCTGTGAATTCGCTTATTACACAAATGTCTACCCAATGATAACATAAATTGTGTGGCTATTTTGGTATCACGAGTGTTTTGTCTTCTTGTTTATTCATTTTTCCGGGAAGTTGTAAGGGCAAGAATGTTTAATTTTTATATGACTTCATAGTCCTTCACACAAACAGAAGTTATTCACGCATAGAAGAATCTTTACAAGAATTATGACACCGTTTTTTTGCCACATCAGCCATTAGTCATTTTGTCAAAACATTAATGGCATGTCTTCCAGCAACCAAAAGAAATTGGAAAACAGCCTTACCATAGCGTAAAAGGTTTTGTTAGCTTCTAAGTGCATTTAAGTTTTTAATGCAACCTCCGTTACAGTCAAAACATGAGAGTTTTTGTAGCAGAAAGTGATCAACATATGCAGACAACCAGACTTTTTCTTTTTATGATGATGTCTTAAGAAAACACTCACGTCATGGCTTGCAAATAGTTGTGTGAGGTTTAGGAATCTATTAAACACCCCATAAAACATGCACTCTTGGGAAGACAAGCGAAAAACTTTGATTAGCGGAACTTTGTATCGTCACTAGCACCGCGTTGGCGACGTAAACAACTTATCCGATGGTATTTTCGTTAAATTACAAAAGGAATTTTATGGAAGGCGTGACCATCAACGATGCTGGTTTTGCTAGCGGCGTGCTCATTGCAGAGATTTGCAGGAGGTCGTTGTGCACACTGCAGAAAAGTGTAATAGCGCTTTGAAAGAGAATTATGATAGGTAATTCAGCACTATAGTGACACTGCCTAATTTGTTGAGAATCTAATCACCTTGATGTACAGTCCACTTTGTTTCCGCAACTCATAAGTCACACACAGAAGTTTGCGTTTTTAGGCGTCTCTCGCGCGGACCGCCCCTTTTTGAAGGTATAAATTCGAGTTCGAGTCTGTCTCTGCTCGGCGTATACTACAAGAACGAATATGTATTATGTATGTATGCTTCAACACTTCATTTTGCCTGTCATTATCGCCTTCACTGTAGCAGCAAGAGTATCAGAAAATACGTTTTCGTTCGCTTCTTCCCATTCTGTCCTCTTAACTTTCTAAATATCTCTATTTCAATTGTACCTCCTCACATCGCTTTCAAACAAATTCACTTGGCACTTTATGCGGATAGTAAAAGAATGGAATCATCGAAATCGGAACATGACTGTTGAAGATTGCTTTCCTAATAAATCAGGAATCTATATCTATGGTAGCACTACTTTCTAAAGATATACAGAGACAAGATGACAAATTAATTTTTGTAGTGGAAATTGTAATTCTCAGTACTGTTTTTCTAGATAGAGTTTAGCGGATAATTTTGAAGTTTTCTCAACTGTTGAGTAAGGAAAGCACACTCAGAGTCATGTGCAAACATAAATAATTCAATTAAATTTTCTCCCTATTATATGTCTTTCAAAAAAGGTTCCGCTTGGTAACCATTTTTTGAAAAACCGTTTGCTCTTCATTACCAAAGATAAAGATAGAAAACTAGGAGGGACTTGGAAGTGAGGATTGTCTTGTCAGCTAAGAGATACGTTTTACGAGGATCCACCGTCTGTACCTTTTGAAAAGCTTATATTCCTGAAAAACTTATTTACAATATGTAAGCAACGTCTAGATTGTCAACGTGTTGATCACATGAGTCTATTACTCTTGACTATAGTCTATCAAGACGGTAATTCATCTGCTTACTTAACATTTCTCATAGCATTTCGAAATGTCTGACAACAGTACATGTCTCCTCAATGCACAACACTACAATCCTTCAATTATAAGGCCAGATCTTTCAATGTACTCCATGCCATTAACTCGTGCATAAACCGCACTGCTATAACTACCAAATTAATTGCATTTATTTACAGAATCAGCTTAGCTATTCCACTACCACTCGAGAGAATGTCTCCAAGCCGGTCTTTCATTGTCATTCTTTGTATTTTGACTACAGGCACCATAGCATCAAGGCTATGTGGTGTAACGCTCGTGCATAAATTAGGAAAAATGTGCAAGTAAGTTTGATTCACTTTCATCCAATCTAATCAAACATCAAATCATATAGTGATTTTTGCTACACACTGATGTACGTACTAACCTATTTTTGGATCATTTTGAGATGAAACAGTAGTAGCGACAAGAGTATATGAAAAATAAAAACTGGAATGCCAGGCCGGTGTTAACCCCGTACAATGAGTATTTTCAGAATTACAACAGAAGAATCGTGTTCAGATCTGGACTACAAAGACGTGAACATTCCCATTATGGGTGAGATAATTCTTTGAATTGACAAACCAAAATGAAAACTCAATTGAGAATATAAAGTACACGAAAATAGTATATAAAACTCGTTAGACCCACCTTTCATGCCAAATTTCTCCTAAGATACAATATTAAAAACAACTTTCAACAGATCAAGTGAGAATGTACCACTGAAAACTCTTCTGCCCACTGAGAAATAAAAAATACGAAAAAAATTTCAAATTTTGCTTTGTTTTTATCTGTCAAAAATCATCTACAACATCAGAACAAAGACTTTTCTCTAACGAATTGTCTAACAATGGCATACTTTGTCAACTGGTGTTGTCCTCAAATGACATACTTTTGTGTAAAACGATCAACTTCCAACGAGTTTGCTCTATTGATCTCGTCGTCAATAAAATTTGTAAGAACACGGTGAAATCAAAATAAAAGTGCTTTTGTTCTTTTTTTTCGAAGTGTTTCTTATACCAATCATAACATTCTTTTAATTACTGGCATCCGCACGTAGTCATCGCGGACAATGTCCTGTCCTTTGCTAACTTTACCTTGAAGAACTTTGGTGTTCTTCTCATGTGCTTGTCAGTTTGGCAAAGGTTGGGGGGAGGAAGGGGGGGGGGGGCGAGGGCAAAGGAAATGATACACATGGTTGATTACGAAACATCAATTGCTTCCGTTACTCATTGATAAGTAATTTGTTTATAGCGCAATAACAGCAGTAAAATATCAATGTATTTTAAAATTTTTATTTCCTGTTTTTAAACAACAAAGAAGTGCGCTTGCATTGTTCGAATTCGCAACTAATGAGCTTACAACTGAAGTAAATAGATTTGTAATGCTAGTTTCACCTCGCAACGTTTTTGAGTTTGATGAAGATTGGTGACATTCGTGAGTAAAAGTCTTATTAATCTTGATTCTGATGTTAAATAAGCAAGAAGTTTTGAACAGCAGCACTGAATCATACTACTGCGGCAATGATAACGAATTTTTGCATAACTTTTTAGCGCTAGGTTCTGATTATTCACTCCAGTTTGGGGGATTGTTTTACAGCTAAGGGTTCGTGATATTCTGTGTTTCCCTAATTTTGCTTCTGTTACCCATAGAGCGAGGAGAACTACGCCGATCACGCAGTGAAGTTAAGATTTTGCGCATAATCTGTCATCGAATTAGTCGTCCATTTCGCTATCAAGTTAGAAATTTCGGGGCTCTATTTGTAGTCAAAATTGCGGATATCACAAGATCAACAGAATAAAGGTCGAACTGGCATAAATGCCAAAGGGTGTAGTGGTGTATATCGAATCTCTAAAAAACTAAAAAGATGCTTTCATCAAAAAGTGTTCGTTGGTTAAGGGCCTGCGTCATGGTGGGTAACGGACTATGTCGCCAAAAGAGGAGTTGCGCGGACATCTGCAACATAAACACTTCTCCCATACATCAAGAGGTGGTACTTGTTGCAGATGTTCGCGTGAGAGCTCCCCTTTTGGTGACATATCGTCATCTACCCCGCTATCGTCAATGGGTTGAAGTAACGAACTTGTAACGATCCCATACAGTGGATATTTCTTAGATTTCATAAAAGATTTATTTTTGTAGAAAGCGAATCCAAACAAGCTTACACGACAAGATTTCCACCTTTTGAAGCAAACTCTTTCAGATGTGGCTGAACGTTGCTGTTCGCAACAGTGTTCGCTGAGGTTCCTACAATCCGTTTGCTGTGCGCTGAACTTCGGCTCGTCACACCATCATCGAAAAGTCGCATTCTCAACGAAAGATCTCTACGAGACTCTTCAATGAGTCAGCCCTCCGATCAACCAATAACCAGTCTCACTTCAGTTACGGTCTCTCGCACCCGCACACCGTATGCACTGTCACACTGACTCTCATGATCTTTTCTATTTCTTTTCTGTCTCATCGCCAGAGCAAGAAATATCAGGAGCTTTACACACAGTTTTCCACCGAGTTCTCCTTTCACATTTGCTTTCCTCTCATCTCCCTGTCCTATGCCAATTCTCGATGTGTATACGGTGTAGTGTTTGTAATTATGTGTAGTCCTAGAATAAATATTATTCTATACGATAATTATTTTCATATAGCATTATCTGCAAGTGCACAATTGTGCAGACACTGCCAATCAAACTACTATTTATCGTGCGGTTGCACACTGTGCAATTTGAATAACCTTGCAAGGGTGGAATTTAAAGGACAAATTAGAGAAATTCTTATCTTTTTTGACAAGGGCATTTGAATTTTTGGGTCTTGCAAAGTTCTCAATGGTAAGTGATCACAGATCTTGTTTCTTTGGTGAAATGGAAAGTCGCTTTCGTGATGTTCCGATGAAGTAAGCGGACAGCCTATATTTATTACATTTTTAGCTGTTTCGTACCCAGTGTCTGCAATTGCACATAACATGCATATTGCCGTAAAATCTGGATTCTGTAGCACTGGACGCTCTCTGTCTGAATGCCGTTGAGATGAGTTCCAAGACTTTCATTTTTTCCAGGTAAAAAAAAAGAGTAGTGATTTATCAAGTGAGATGACCAGCTTAATCTGGGGTTAATGTATAATCCGTATCTTCTGTACTATCAAGATAAAGAAATGATTGCAGTAGTGTACTCAGCTTGAGGAGATGAATCCTAAATCTTGCCATATTATATTAAGTTACCGTAATACCTTAAGATACGGTGAAAATATGTGCAATAGTTGTACTCATTTGTTTGCGGTATAATAGCCGATCTAGAACACTATTAATATTTGCATCAAGCAGCTATTAATAATCTCTAACACAAAATATCACGACGAGTGGATCCCGTCCTATTCAGAGATACGGCGTTGTTCTAAAAATGTATGGACTCAATCAAATAGCAATTTGCTGGCGAAATCGAGGACCTCTCAGTTATGAGCACATTAGGAAAATGCGCACAATGTTTGAACTATACTACTTTGCCAATTAAAAATGTCCGTACAGTTCTAATTAACCGCCGAACAAAATTTTGAAAATGATGGATACGGTAGAGCGGATGTCGCACTGTTCTATTTGTGCACCGTTCTTGCACGCTTGTGATTTGTAACCTCAAAAACAGTGCTTTCCGGCTGTTCGCTGAAGATTGAATTCTTTACAACTTATACTAGGCATGACAGGGTGTGTTGAAAAGAATGTCCATGATCTTCACACTGAAGTACATCAAGAACAGTGTGAGGTCTGGGAATCTCGAAAATATGCAAAATGCCTAATTGTGCAACCTCAACTCTATAGAACTGTAAGCTCATTAGTTTCTGAGTGCGTAAACCTCAGCACGTTATCACCTCTATATCATAATGTATTTTGATACTCCGTTATCCTGGCGGCTCACTTTTCACCTAAAAAAGACAAAACTGTGAATTTGTACAGGTTCTATTTTGGGCTGGAGTAAGCCAGCGAGGTGGCGTATAAAAAATTCAAAAACGAAGTTCACCTTGACATCGCAGAAAATTACGAGATACTTTTTGTAGTGTTCGTAGAAACTCTGTTAATAATCTGCCACGAAAAAAGTGGATTCAAATGAAGAAGAGAGGAGAATAAATAAACATTTAAAAGAGATGCAAAAAGAGGCTTTTTTGGATCACCAAAATCCGTAACGAAGCATAGGGATGGAACTAGAGTTAAGGCGGGTACTCATAGGTAGAGCATGATTCAAAGTTTGGATTTATGTAAAATTTGGTAGAAAAATTTAGAAATTTACGTGAGGAAGGGAGGCAGTTGTGAAGATCCTTGAATTTGTCTGGTCCCGCGCAACCTATTGGCACCCCGAGGTCGCGCGGAAGCAACCTAAAATCGAGAAACACTTACAACTCTTCATGTTCACATAACTTCTTCATAAGTTTCGTACTTTTCTTCTGACCATTGCCGCCGATGTAAGCACTAAATTTGGTGGATCGAAAGTGCTTACTCGTTGTAAACAAAGCAAAATGCGACAAAAACCTGTTATTATAGCATCAAACCGATTGTTTATATTTTTGTGCGTAAGGATTGGTTTTGACACGTTTAAATCGTATGCACACAGGTTTGTGCACTATTCGTGTTTGTAACGTTTTCACTTACCTGTAAGGTAAAATTATGTTAGACCTCCAAATTCGGGCTTGCTATGATTTAGACTTGTTCTGATTTTTCGTCAGGTTTCCGGTTAGAGACTTTCCAGTTCCCTTTTGCTTTCCCTGGAAAAATGACATCCTGTGTGTGAAAGCGTTACCTATTCTGAGCCCTGGCTGAAGTGCTTCCTAAGTAAGAAACGTGCCTGTCACATGACGAGAAAAAATCAACTTGTTTTGGCTATTCAGACATGCTTTCTCAACTTTTTATACGCCGGCGTAACGTAAAAGTCATCTGGCTCACAGTTTTATGGCTATTCCTAATCCAAGTAATCGGCATGATTATATGAGAAGAAAACCTAACTGCTCTTCACAAAGGCTTAGAATATCCTTAAATTCACACCGTTTCAGCACGTTACTGCCTTTCCCATACCTCAGGCGCTTTCACTCGCCGCGCGATCTGGCAATTTGGCATATGTCTTCATAAACAGTGCTCAAGTCTGTAGTCTGCATAGTCTGTACAAATTCTCGTAGATTGATAAAATGCCCATCCTTCCATATTCAGAATGCGCACACGATGAGTTATGGACGATTGGAGTATTGCCAAATCGCGTCGCGAGTGACTGAGATCTCATGAGGCCTCAGAACGATACCACTATACTTTCCCCAATTGTGCTCAAAGTGGCCCAGGAGGAAGATATGGCCCAAGCTAGCCGACTCGGCGATTTTCCTATTTGTGTCTAAACACGTCCTTCCAGGTGACATCCTCTTTGTTGACTTGTCCAATCCTGCGACTCAAGCTAAAGTAGGAAAAACATCTCGTCCAAGTAGCCTTCGCGAGGCCATCAAAAAACGTGGTTTTCGATTTTATGCACGTGGAGTTAGACAGGGTTGCAAAGGCTTGTAATATGCAAGAATCCTGATTTCGGTGAGACCCAGTCCATAACCTAGACATCCTGGACTTCTGGTGCAACTTGTTACGCGTATAAGGAGACGTTAATTTCTTAAATTTTCTTAAATTGACATGTTATTACATGCTAATTCCTTCTCTCACGTGGCAGTAGATTGAAACTTCCTCTGTTCGAATTTTCATCCATATCTGGACTTGCTAAGGCGAATTTTCTAACTATTTTGAATCCGAATGATGGAAAAAGTGCCTGTTCTTTTTATCATAGGAAGAAAGAGAATACGTGCAAAGAATTGCATCAACGATCATGCGGAAAAAAACAGCCGCTGCTCAATGTCATAACAGTTTTCGCTACCTCGACCAAATGCAAATGACAACAACAACTTCATGCTCAGCTCTCCAAAAAAACCAGAAAACCAAAAACTTTTCTTCCTTTGAATTCCTTCATTTCAAAAATGTCTTGCTGTGATCTAGCCTTGCTGAGTTTAAAGAGGTAAATGCATCTACAAGAACCATTCCAAAAACTGCCCTTTTCGGCTTTGTTGCACATTATTATTTCGAAATTGCACTCATAGTAACCAGACAACAGTTTTTCTACAAATTCGATAGTTGTTTCGCCAACCTTTGCCATATATGGAAAATGGGGGGATTTGTTTAATCGTGGGCAATTTGAGACTTCGTTATTAGTCATTGGTGTGGGCACACAATGCCGAAAAATGCTAAGTTTACATGCATAAGTTAGAGACTGCGCAAAACAGCTACATCACACTCATGATTCGTAAAATTACATCGGGAATCAAGCTTGAATGAGATATCTTCTCAATTTTCGACTTGATGATTTTCATCCAAATCCTCACTACCTTTTCACCATTTCATAGCTGTTATAGTGCTGTTATAGTGCAGATCATGCTTAGATCTTACCTCTAAATAAAGCAATATCCTCAAGCACTGAAGAGCGATACGAAAGTTCTTTGTACGAACATTAAACAAAGCTCTATAGAACTTTGAGAGCAAAGGTTTCCAGGTATGAAAAAAACTTCTATGTGGTAGTTACTTTTTCAGTGTTGGAGTTATACAACTTAAGTTAGAACCAGGGTTGAGCAAGAGGTCAGGCACAAGTCTTTCCAAAACGACCCCCCCCCCCCCCAGTGAAAGCCCCTAAACGACCCCCCTGCTTCACCTCCAGGACCTCAGGCTGTGATAGTTCGAAGAGATCAGCCGTTTTTGGGAGGTTCTTGTTTTTTGGAGGTCTGTAGGTCGACTTTCTGCGATTGCACAGCACACGCAACTTGACGGCAATTTTTGGATTTTGGATAGCCCTACTTTTAGAGCTATAATTCCCACAGGGGTGTATTGTTTGGCTCCAAATTTGCAGTATTGCAAGAAGAGGCTTTGAGTTCAATACTCATAGCAGAAATGGAGCGATTGTTAGATTTTGAAAACAAGTTAATCGGGTCAGGCGCAACCCCTCAAAAGCTCAGGCGGCCTGACCTTTTGTGGGGTTGCGCCTGACCCGATTAACTTTATCATTGAAGAAGCTTTTTTATTCAGGTTTTATGTGAATCGCTAGCAGAACCCTCGAAGATTCCACAGTAAGTGTTTGGACTTGATTCGACTTTTTAGTCGTTGAGAAACACTAGATAATGCAGTAAATAATGGTTTCTAGGGCTCATGGTAATTTGACGTGCTCGGAAATGATACCCATTTCACACAGCAAGCTTCCTTGATGAATTTATAATATGTCAAGGTAGAAGATGAAGATTTGAGTTTTGGCCGAAACTTCGATTGTGGAATCATTCAGTATGCTGTTTAAGACCGTTCATTCCTTCAGTACTGGTGAGGTCGCGATATCCACTAAACTAGCGCTTTTCTTCTTCACCTTAATCGTAGTATCTCCTCAATCGAACGAATTCGATTCCTAATCACGACCCCCCTCTGTCTTACCCCAGTACGACCCCCCAGGTCGGGCGCGCCTGACCCCACGCTCAACCCTGGTTAGAACACTGCTTGAAGTGATCCGTTGCTTATTCAAAATCACTTCTTACCATTAAAGGAAGGTTAGTCGAAGTGGCCTTTTGATAGGGTATTGAATTAAAAGGTTTGAAACCCCAATTTCAAATATATCTTTATTATCTACTGCGGGTCCCTGGACAAGGAGGTACGAAGGTGAGCAAAAATGAGCATGAGCAAAAATCTGCATGCGCAGCTATGATAAAATCAGTCGTAACATTTTCTCTATGGTTCGAATGATTTTAGGATTACTATGTGCGGTGAATATTCTTAATTCAAACAGATCCACTTAACTCTGCCATTTCGAAAAGCTAGGAAATGTCAACGACTGATTTTACGCTGTTCATGCATTAATTGCCCAACAAAAACTTTCAAAAATTCTCGCTCAAAAATCCGCAGCAAACAAGAAAGCTATATTTGGAATCACCGTTTCATACTATTAGAGCCAGTATACATCTCATACAGAAAAGCCACTTCGACTAACCTTCCTCCCCTTCTTAGGTAAACCTCTGCAATGGTGCCCATCCAGGACCTGGCACAGTGTGACAAATCCAAGCATGAATTTGTAGGTAAAGGAATACACGATAAGCACATCACATGTGTAAATAACCGCTTCGTTTACAACGCACCAACGATATGACACCAAGTTTGGTAGATTAATGGAGAAGAGGTAAGCGGAACACAGAGCAGAAAACCGAAACCATGTCACGGTAGGTTGTGGCAAGCCTTTCTTGAAAAATTCTGGTTGGTGAAACGTAAGAAAATGACTCATTTGCGATGCAAGGAACAATGTGACTCCAGTCTTCTGTATACAGCACGTATTGAGGAGTTGGAACGAATTATTGTATGAAAAACTTATATGGATGAAGAGGGCGCTCAACTTTCCCCCAAATTAGCACAGCAATTGTCACCCCAGTTCCACCCTAAGGCTGGCAAAACTTATTCGCATAATTTCTCATGGCTTGTGCATAAATCTGGTCTGCACAATTCACTATGAACAACTTTGTGGTATCGTAACGGGTCCTGTGCCCATCGCTCAGCCATTCAATTCAGTCAGTGTCTTAAATGATAAGCAAGCAATACACATTCGTTTTACTGAGAACCTGCTTTTTCGCTTTTCGAGATTACAATGTTTAATTGAAGGATTTCAGATTACAGGTCTTCTCTATACAAACTCCAGTCTTTCAAGAAAAAACTGAACTGAATCATGCTAAAGCACAAAGATTTCGTACAATATTATACTTCAAAAGTTTCACCATGTCCCCGTAAGTTCCAATAAATTCGATTGAAAAGCTAAATCATCAGCAATCATCACTTGGGCTTGCGGTTAGGGTATATATATAACAAATCAAGCCAGTGAAACAGTAGATAGTCAGCGGATATTGAGTTTAACAATTGATAGGTAATTCTTCCATGTACCCCATGACTGACATTTCAAATGAACAAGTATATTTGCAAGTATATAACAGTTTGCAAGTATATTAAAAAAGTACTGTAATAAAAATTTTCCTGGAAAAATTAGATATTTTTTAACATCGGCGTTCTTCCTGGAGGGCTCGCGGATGGCATAGAAACAATACAACACTCCTTCCAAAGATGGAAACGAAACGGAGTCATTAAGGTATAATCATAATAAATACATAAACTATCAACAATATTATTATAATTGAACTATTGAACAGTTTTTCAAGCTAATTCATGCTTATGCACTCACTGACTCACCACTGTGCAAAGGTGGCGATGCTTACTTCGTTCTAATGGATTGCTTGGAAATGATGCAAATTGAAGGATTTTGATTTGCATGAAAATTATGATATTATATAGATAAGCAGAAGATCTTTTGAACTACGAAGCTCCCTCGCAACTATTTGTGTTCAAAAATAAATGCATTCATACACATCGTATTGATGATACTTATTGATAGGAGCATTGAACGCTTGAATATTCTTGAAATATAGCATTCGTAATGCCAAACTCGTGTTTAGAGATAGTTTTTCAACATCATCAGTATTTAGTCGTTACATTCTAGCTTTGCGCAAATAACGTCGGAAAATCCGTGCTAAATTTAGTATTTTTTCGCACTCTAGCGAGTATTAGTAGCCACTGACGTTGGCAGACTATATGCGTAAACCGCTAATTGTTGCTTACTTCATCAATCACTTTTTATTCGAAAGTACAGGGATTATGATGAGAGCCATGTCAACAGGGACACAAAGCGAGCCTTTCAGAAAGCAGACCTTGGCAGTGCAAAGCAATTAAGCAATTTATCGAAATGTTTGAGTACACTCAACTACATCATAATAGCTACTGATTATCACTTTGCTCCATGTGAGGTGTAATGATGAGGTTTAGAAGTGAAACCGAAATTTGCATGCGGGTGAGACCAAAGCTGTCATTCATTCACCGATCTGAAAGAAATTTGGTTACGAGGACATGTCGATAGTTAAATGCTGGAATGGAACCAAAAACCTAAGAGTAGGATGAGATGGCACAATTCATAACACGCGAAGACTGGGAGCCATTGCGTCCGGCCAAGATAGTTCGTGCATTTGTGAAACAGCAGATCGTAAGAGAAATGAAAGAGCGCTTGATCAGAGAGACGCCGATGCGTCCGCAGTGTGTGCTATGAATCGCCTAGATACCGTATTTGGATGAATTTCTTATTGAATGAATGCAGGTTTCATCAATAGTTCCTGCGGAGAAATGAAAGAGAAATGATGTGTAATAAATTCATGAAATCTGCTTGAGCGATGCGACATCTGATTTATCTCGCTTGAAAATTCTTCCAAATGTTTTCCGTTTGTTCTGCCTTTCATGGCTTCTTTACATAGGAAAATACAGGGTGTCCCGAAAAGATGTACCTACTGTTTGATTGTTAATAACTCTCTTGTAATGAAGTCTCTCGAGAAGCTTTGGGTACCGTTTTGTAGGCTAGATTCACATTAGATTTACAGTATAGAGCGAATCACCGACCACTACTGTAGGATTACGGTAGAAACTTCAAGTACATGGTGTCACTTGAAAAAAAGCTGCCGTCTCAAAAAATTGAAAACTTGTGTGATCGGGTTTTCATGGACGTTAAGTTCAATACTCAACTATGTACAAAATTACGAGGCTTTCTAAACCGTGTAACCGCACTCTTATGGAACATTGAAAAACGGCCGCTACTGCTTAAGTCGCATAACTTTTTGAAAAGCATTATGATAAGTTACGAATTTCACACTTAGAATTAGCAGCTCTGATTAACCTAGTGTGAGAGTCAGGTTGCTTTGTTTCCTTTATGAGACAAAAACCCTCTTCAAAGTTCTTACCGTAATCCTACAAAAAGGGAGCAGTCGGTAATCCGATCCATATCGTAAATCTAGTTAAAGCCAGCTCTATAAAATGGTACCTTAAGCTTCCCGAAAGACATCATTACAAGAGAGTTATTAACAATCAAACACTAGGCACATCTTTTTGGGATACCCTATGAAAAAAATCTTTAAAAAAGGTAGTCTGACTGAGATGTCACCACGCATTTATTCTGGCGTTGTAATCGAAGAATGACACAAACAATTTCTGCAGAGAGAGCTGACAAGTTATGTAGCATCCTCAGATTGAAAAAGAATTCAAGCTGTGGATAATGGGTCCTTTGCATCTACTGAGACTTGGTTTTATGAGACGCAATGATTAGTAAAGAATGATGGGCGCAGTCGAGCAAAACTATGATATGTAATCATATGATTGCGAGTGTTTCTTTCACATTGGACAAAACACCGAATGTACAAAGCAACAGATAGAAATGATTTCTTCTGCAGAATTCTCTGTTTTTTCTATAAGAACGCAGAAAAGACTTTTTAGTGAGCTTTACAAGCCAAGAATCTAACTGAACTAGCACACTTATTCAGTTCTGTTGTAGTAAATCGTGCATAAAAAGCCCAGGCGAATAAATGACGAGAAATCGAATCGACACCAAGGAGGAAAACAGTATATATTAGTTACAGGCCATATCGCTGTTTGCTATGTGGAAGCTGAAGAAGCTTTCCCAGAAAAAAGATTTACCCGAAGTTTCCAAATTCCTAAAGAAGCTTTTATAAAGTTTGAATATATTCTGCTTGATGTAAGATATCTTATTGAATTTTCTTTCCTATACAACAGCCTAAGCTTATTGTCCAAAAAATTTTGGTTCATTCCAGCGCAAATCGCGATAACAAATCAACCATACGTTTAACTTTTTTAAGTAATTCAAAGCTACGTACTTACCAAAGTGATCCTGAAACACCGTCGTCGACATCTTCGAGATCAGATTCGAATGAGCTTGAGTCAGAGCTGACATCTAGATCGATGAACGACACAGCCGTCTTGAGATCCTTCTGCTTTATAATTTCTGAGTTGTTGCGTTCTTTTGGAAATAAGGCGAGCACCTCTTCGGAGACCACCTACAAACGTGAAGATTTTTACGGACATTGTTGTGTTGTCTTTGCGCTTGTCGAGAAAGTTTGTGAAAGTTTAAACAGCATACTAACTGACCAAAACAAGGGAGTACTAATACTACACATATCGCGGAAGTATTCTCATCCGCTATATGTAAGGTAGTTCCCAATTATGGCCTGAAATTCCCATGAGAAGATTACGGGAAATCCACTCCACAAAAATGGAACACCAAAAGCAAAATTGGAGGACTTTCCACTTTCAGACCTTTAAAAAGCAAATGTATTTAGATCTCACGAAGTACATAGATATTCCACTAAAGCAGGAGATTTAATGGATAGAGTTAAGGCGCAGGAAATAACCTTCGGCACACACTCTCTGAGTCGCAATTTGTACATGAGTCCAAAATGGCGGATCAATTCAATGACATGTTTTCTTACTTCTAGGAAGTTTCCTTTCTAAAGCAAGTATCACTCTGAATCACAAAACTTTCCTGCCGCGTAATCATGAAAAGATAAGCTTGTCTTTCTTTATAGGACCGAAATTCACAACAGGATTCTTATAGGAAAAGGATACACTGTTAACCGCTGTCCTACGATGGGGACTTTTTGGGGATTACGCCCAATAAAGACCCCCTATTTTTTCTAAATGTAAGAGGCAACTCACGTATTTCTTGAGCACTGTGGGTGCAATCCAATCCTCAAACTTGGCTATCGAATAAACTACTAATGCTTCTATGAATGGGGTGCGATGAATTGCTGGAAATCCACCCGTTGTCAACTTCAGACGCTGCAAAGGCTTTGCATCTTATGCATGTCAAATCGCCGAAGCGCAGCGACAAACTATCTGACCATCACCAACCTCAAACTGCTTTGGTCGGGCTATTTGCTGACCATCTTCAAAACCGCATTGGTAATCGTATGCCATCGACAATACATGCAGTCGTTCTAAACAAACATGGATTTAGAAACCATCATCAATTTTTCACGGCGAGAAGCTGTTCAAAATGACACCTTTCTCAAGTTTAAAAAAGGGAACAAATTGGAAAAAGAAGATTAAAACGATCACTGGAAGATAGCGATCATCAAATGCCCTCATGAAGTATTGAAAACCAAACATTTGATTTTTTGAATGAAAGATGTTTGTATATTCGAGTTAAGGTTTTTACAAAGATACATCTTTGATTTCTCAACGAGCGGATATTCGAATAAGTTAAAGTAATTTGATTATTGGAATAAATTATTGGAAGTATTTCATTGAAATTCGACTATTTGAATCTTCCATTTGAGAAAAACGATATCGCAAAGCCTCTAAACGAAAAGTCCTAGCGGGATTGCAGTGAAAGATCGAACTTTTTACTTGCCTTTCAGTGTGAATGGCAGCTTCAAACGGCGGAACAAAAGGTGATGAAGTCGCCAAAGTATTACTCGCGTTTTGCGAAAGAGGTAATTGAGCTCGCTGCTTCCTCCAGAGTAGAATCCCGTTACTCCTTTCTCGCGTAGGCTGAATTTTCTGAGTATGGGAACACACGAAAACTTTGGAGAAAAGTTTACGCACTTGGAAGTTAGGAACTCGCAATTATAGAGTTTCCTTGTCAGAATTTCGTACATAGTGTCTTCTGGAGTTTGCTGACTGACTATGTGCAGAAATGTGGAATAGTCCTTACAAGTGATGGGCGGCAGAGGATTTAGCACCCAAAATCATAACATGATTAGCCCTAAGTAGAAGTTTACATTTCTAAGCTTACAGCGTTTAAAGCTGTCGACCATGACTTCTTTCGAGACTCTCGGCATTCCCGTTGTTTGACATAGTTATGTTGGAGATCTTTCAACAAGTGTAGCCTGAACAAAAAAGTATGAAGCATCGCTAGTTGTGAAAATACCAGGGCATCCTTAGTTTTATATTTGCCTTGGCACTGCAGATGACTGAATTGAAACAAAAATCCTTTGGCACCAATGGCAATGATTTTTTTTTGTGGGGGAGGGAGGGTACAACAGAATGAAGAGTAAAACTTTAGTGATGCTTTCCAAAAAAATTTTGGAATGTACCAGAATTTGACATACCTATACCCCAAAAATTTTAGAAAGGAGGGGGCAACCTCTTTTCCCTCAAAAACATTTTTTACAATGCTTTGGGCTATTGAAAATTTTCAGAAATCATGTTTCATAAGTGAAAACAAGTCGCTTCCGCAATTTCATAGCCTATGCAGGTTACTTTAGAAGATTTTGCAAACCCATCTCGGGAGGAGGGGGGGGGACTCGTTCAGCCATTGGTCGAAACTTAATAGTCCATCATTGAGGCAAAAGCTCTGTCAGCCTTTTTTTGAATTGGCGAGAAGAAAGACTCGCAGAACGCTGCAGATACAGAGGTGGTGTCCAGCCGCATCAAATTACTTGGGCTTCTTATATGGGGAAAAAGGAGGAAGGAGAAACCAAAGTGTGTCATTTGTGGCTGAGTGATTTGATTTCGAACTTTCGTACAGTACGGTAATCTTTCAGGGCGGTTCAGATAGCGAACTCGATTACGGTAGCGGGCAGGAGTTTCAAATTTCTCGACCACCTGAGCTATCGCCTGAGCAATATATTTTAGGGCCTCATAATCAATATAGCTCCACACAAGAAACAAAAAACTTGAACACTACCTCTGATGACATCAATGGCCAATTTACGTGCGACCCCTACATGTAAATCTTAATCTTTGTCAATATTAATCACGATAATTCTATTTAAAAATCGCTGACCATGCCTCTTTGACACGCTCGATCGGATATACCATACGTTGGGCAACAGTATTCCACTCTGTTCGCTTGTCATAATCTTGTACATTCTAAACGATGAATTCTGTTTGTTAGCTCCCTGCCATGCCCAACCGTCACAGATATGTACCTCGTATTGCTTATGATATATGGCCTTACGTACTAGTCGCTTGAAAGGTTTTTCTTGGTCATCAGTATACTTCATAACCGCACCTTGAATAAAATCTTGTTCGATGTGATTGCGAATAATTTTACAGACGCTTTACCCCAAAGCTTCTTTCTCAAATGGTTGGGTACCGGTCCTCTTCGTGCTAGACTGTTTCTCAGTTGATTCTGGCAAGAGTGTGCTGGTCTGTTCAAGAGCTAAATTTGCCCTTTTTTTGGTAGTATACATTTCAAAATCAAGACAATATATCATTGATTCAAAGATACTACCTTTCCAATTTTATGCACAGCCTCAGTTGACATTCCATACTTCATGTAATATCGTAACAACTTTTTTGTTTGCTTGTCTGTCCAAGGAACACTGAAAATTCAACGATTGCTTCGAAAAACTGGAGAAACAAATAGAACGAACATTCATCCTTAGTTTACGCTAGTCACGTTACTCACTCTTGTACTTTGGAAGAGACAACAAAATTCCGTTCCTGAACACTCTCGAACAAAACAAGTTCCAATGAAAATAAAGTTGTTTTTTACGTTGTGTAAAAAGTCAGATGATTTCTTTTTTGATTGTTTTCGTAAGTGAAGAAATCTGAAGTCAAAAAAGGGGCTAACCAAACAAAAAGGGAAAGTATGGAAGGATGATCAAGCAAAGCATAATTTGGTACTTATGCTATGTGTAAAATGATACACCCTATTTATCTCAGATATCCCATCTTTCGCATCTTTCACAATGGGCAAATTATTGCCAATATCTGAACATTACTGCAATGTGCGCCAAAACAACTTCAATGATTTCAGTAGGATAAAATAAAAAAAGGTAAATTTGCACGCTATTATTGTTATTTTGCAGCCTTCTCAAGCAAGATGTTCCAAAACTATACTACTCCATTTCGTTTCTTTCCTTACTTGTTTTGTTCCAAGTTTTAAGTCTTCCCCTGACCTCATAAGGAGGAAAGATTCAGGATCAATTAGGGTAGTAAGTAAATGAAAAGGTTCTCTAACGCTCATTTCTAGATTGTTCTAGCAAGCGAAGCAATTCCTCACAGTCAACTTTGTCAAACTTAAATCCATACTTTCTGGAGTATGTGATCTCCGCCTTTCCTTCAATCACGGCAGGATCGAATATGATTCCGATACGCCTTCGTATTTGTGCAGCACTTCGATGCGGCAAATTATGACCTGAAGAAATTAAACTCAGCAGAAAGCCCTCGCTTCCAAAACGTTGTTCAACTTGCCTAGTCTATGTACAACATGCGTTTGAAATTCAGTCAAAAAATTTATTCATATTAGGTTGATGCGAAAGTCCTTGCGCTATTCATGAGAACTTCAAAAACTAGCATTCAGAAAATATAAGAAAGCTTACGCTTTATGACAGTTATCTACGAAATCTCCAATGGCTAACTTTGGAGAAACAAATTTCCAAGAAATGCACAGGAAATTTGAGTTTGATCGTAAATATCACAACAGTGCGGTTAGCTAGCCCCACCTGCAAAAACATTTTCAAGTAACAATCAGTTTTCCATATCTACATCGTTTGGCAGGCTTTGATCTTGCGAAAACAAAAAAGGAAGACTCTCCTTATTACCGCAAGTTCTTCACAAAAACCCAGCTAAGCAGATTTGGCCTAGGCTACCTAAAAGAATGTGACGTTTTTTCAGCGTCATATGCGTCATACTCTTTAAAAATGCAGGACTAGGGGAACTTTACTGCGTAGGACATTTTTCACGACCTTTTCGTTTTTGCACATGCGAGGTCAAAGCCCCACTAATGTGAGGCCTACTGCTATTAAAAAAATCTGCTGAATTTTTAAAGCTAGCTAGAGGTACTCTATTATTTTGCAACCGAGCACAGAATTTCAAGCCGTCTCTGGAAGCTTGTTGCCTCAGGGCTACAAAGATGAAAAGCTGCGTCTAGATATTACTACAAAGAAAATTAAACTCATCATTAGTTCAGTTCTCGCTTTTGGAAAATACTCTAGAAACTCTTACTTCCCTTACAAATTTTCAAAACTTCATCAGTGTGCAAAAAAAAGTAATGGAATCTGATCAGCATGGACCACTGATTCATTATCAGAGTTTTTGTAATTGGTTTCTAGCATTATTTCTGTGACCTCGCTCTCGGCAGTCAACGGAAAAAATACTCACAGATATGAGGCCAAAAGGCTGTTGTTCTATTGAAAGTAGCTCGTTCCTCATTGTCGGCGAAGATCTTCAAAAACATAATGAGCTAATATGTGTATAAGGACAAAAAAATTGACAATAACCTTGTAGCCAGGAACACCAGCATAACCAGGCGCTTTTTCGTATTCCAAATTGTGCTTGGCAGCAAATCTGAAAAAGAAAACTATGCAGGGAAAAACTGGCCTTTTGCTAATTTTTCATCTCTCTCAACATGTTCACAGAGCTCGATTTGTATACTTTGGTACATGTGTTTTTTTTTAGCAGTGCGTATTTCCACACTTTTTGGGTACATGATAACTGCATCCAAGAGTTTGCGCAAAGTTTCTGAAGCTAGAAAAAACATTTTGAGGGTGGGACAAAATACTACGACAGATTAAGAATTATGCAGGGTACGCGCACACAAGCACTTTTTTCGTAGCCCACCTCACTTGTTCCCAAAGTGTCAGTCCGAACAAAGAAGTCTATTTTGCCTAAGAAGGAAAGGGGTTTTGGACGCAAAGGATTGAATGGAAAAAAGGACCCCTCCCCGAAAGGGATTTTTTTGGATGCAAAGATGAAAGCAATGATCAAAACCATCATTTGATGTAGGCGTTTTGTAAAAATCCTAAACAGGGAACGACCCCACTTAAAGTGGTGAATTGGATTTAACCACACATCATAAATGCGTCTTGTCGAGCTGATTCCGAACCTACCTTCCATATCTGCGATGCGGTTCTCGGAACAAGTTATCAGCGTTCAAAAGTCCAAATTCGGCAAACATTCAGCGCTACATCCTCAAGAACTAGTTGTTTAATAACACTTATCTGTGTTTCCGGTAAATATTAGGTTGTCCCGAAAGTTTTGTCGGTTTTTTTTATCGCTCACCAAACCTCACAGAACACCATTCCATAAACGGCCTAGGTGTCATTCTATTCACATTTTTATCCTCTTTCTTATAGGTATATTTGTTCCCTGATCTACCCCGTCTTTGCGATGTTATCGCCATGGCTTTTTGAGCACCTCAGCAGTAACGCCAAAACTTCCCTGAATTTTCAAAATTTTTATCTTGATATTTTCGACGAGCGCTGGTGACTGTTATGTAGAGCAAACCTTTGGCTACATTGTGGCTATTTTAGATTACGTAGGCCACGTTTATCAAGTCCGTAATAATTATTTATTTGAGAAAAACCGCGGTTTTTTGAACACGTTTTACCACGTAAAATTACCGAAAATTCCAAAAAGCTAATTTTTGAAGCAAAGCAAACTTGGTTATGTTGCATAAATGGTGTTTAATAATAATCAAGTTTGAATTCGCAAAAACTTCAAAAGCGTTCATGTTTTAGCTGCAATTGCGCGTTTCATGACTTAGCCAAAAATGGAGACCTCAGAAGAAATAATTTTTTGACGCCAAAATCAGCAAATTAGGAGAATCTAAAAATACCTTCTTGTAGCCCGAGAGTTGCTCTATTTGACCCATACTTGATCTTTTTCAAAACTTTGTAACGAAATTTTTGAAAATTAGATCAACTTTGAGCAGGTAAAATTGACAGGTGGAGAATTTCGGCAATTACCAAAGAAAGTGAATAACATTATGGTATGAAAGTGCATCCATAAGAAAGAGAAGAAAAAGCTGCATCAAATGCATGTTGAAACTCACTCAGGTCTTTATTGTGCGTGGTTTTACAGTGGTCTGAAAAAACCGACAAAACTTTCGGGACAACCTAATATGAGCATCCCAAACCAGTATACTCAATATCTTGCTAGTCACGCATTTCTAAGTCGGATTTTGAAGCACATTATGCAGTAGAGCTCCAGTGCTCTTCAGTCGTTCAAATGCAGTTGAATGTGTGAAGTCACTGGATTTCTAATGCATGATGTGCTTTTGAATCCAGCTTGGAAGTGCACAACTAGCAGGATATTGAGTGTACTGATTCCAAGGGATGCTCCATTTATCGGAGACAAGATAAGTGTTTTTGAACAACTAGTCCTTGAGGATGTGGCTCTAAATTCTTGCCAAAGGGCATTTGAACGCTTATAACTTCATCCAGAGAACGGCATCTCAGATATTGTAGATAGATTTGTAATCAGCTCATCAAAACGCATCTAATGGTTGCGGATCAATCCGATTCGCCACCTTAAATTGGGATCGTTCCTTTGCAAGATGTACTCACGACAATTATGAGAACATTTTATTGGAAAAAATTGTGCTGAGATTACGTAAAAACTATTAAGTCGTTCCGAAAGTAATGTCGCTTTTTTCACATGAACGCCACATTCCATGGAATCAAGCTTTTCCAGAGATCTTGTAAGCATTCGATGCAGCATTTCATCCGCTTTCTAACGGTTGTAAATTCATTGCATACTATTCAGAAGTTCTCGAAAAATTACCAAAATCTGCGACTCTTGCTTTTTGCCGTTGTCAAGTTCGGCTATTTTTCTTAATTTTTGTATCTATTTTCCGAAGAAGCGCAAGTGACAGGTAGATAGAGCGAACCCTATAGGACACAGAGTAATTTTCTTCTTTTCTTTAGCTTGCTTCTTAAAGTTTCTGGAATTAATTTTTCAAAGCCATCAAATTCCATATTTGGTTAGTTCAAGCCTCACAGAACTACAACTGGTAAGCAATTCGGGTATCATTCGACGCAGCTTTTTCTCCTCTTTCTACCAGTTGTTTTTGGTTTCCGATTCATCAAGTTTTCCGAGATAAAATCATCATAATTCGGGTTTTCCAGGGCCCCTCCGGCTGCACCCGTAATTTTCGAAAGTTGCTAATCTGAAGCGGTAAACGTTCATTTGCTCCATAAAATTAGTGTAAAACCATGATCCATCTTTGTGAGTTTCAAAATCCGAAGATTCGTTGGTGTTTGGTGCAGTTGTGTCTGAGACGAGCCTGCTAAAATTCAATGGTTCCATCAAAAAATCTGTGCAAAAATTATGACAAGCTCTGAAAAGTAGAAAAAAGTTGTGCTGTTTCCTGTAGGGTTTGCTATACCCATCCATTACTTGGTCTCCTTCTGAGGTCTGTTATAAAATTTTAGAAAAATTGTGAAAATTGGCCATCTCAAAAAGCATGGGTCGTAGATTTTGATAATTTTACGAGAGGTTATCAAGTCTTGTGCAGTGCTTATATAACCATTAGAAAGAGAATGAAATGCTGCATCAAACGCTACCAGAATTTCTTATACATCTTCGTTTCATGAGATGTGGCGTACATTCGAAGAAAGCGACATTAATTTCGGAACGACCTAATATTTATAATCAGGGGCTGACCCGCCGATCTTACGTTCATAACATTTGGGTAATCTTCATAGGAATAAGGTGAGCAGCTTCGGCTAGATCGGTTGCGCATAAGACTACGTAAAAGTGGCAAACAAAGGCTGAGCTTGTTTGTAAGAAATGCCGCAAAATCGTAAAGCTCATTGTATCCTTTCGGTATAATAACAAAAGAAGATAAGGAGGCATGGCAGAAGAGAACATGACGCTAAGGGTATAGGACTTGGATGAAATCATTACAGGACTTGTATGGCACATCCTTATTTTCGCATTCTCACAAAGTTGCATATGCAGGATTGATTAATTGACCAGTCCTGAACCACAAATGGCCACAGCACTTTTGGGAAAATTTTGTTCCAGTATTCACATCCTTTGCTAAATTCTTGGGCTAGCAGACAGTTTAGTGTCTTCTTAGTATCTACCAAATTCAAGTGTATAATCGTACAAGCTTCCCTGAAGCCTCGGACAGAGTTCATGCGATTTCATCGCCTCTCGATCCTCCCACAAAACAACTGTTACGGGTGCATTGCATGCTGGTCAACTTAAATTTCGGTTCTGATAGTTAGTCACGATTGGTTGTGTCGGAATACTATCAGAACCGAGATGCAAGTTGATCGGCATGCAATGAATTAGTAGCAGTCGTTTTGTAGGTGAATTGCAAAGCGATGAGATCGCGTGAACTCTGCCCGACTCCCGATCCAGTCGAATTCTCGTTTACGATATTGCATTCAGAAAAATTGGCCATATCAATAAATGCATTGACTGATAGTGCTAAATCAAGACTTAAACGTGTTATTTTGCCAATGCAATAAGAATAAGCATTGTAAGTACCTAATAACAGGAAAAAACGAGTTTCACCTCCCCTGGGGTACTAAAACGTTCCCTGCGTTTTTTTTTCAAATCAAATTTTTCCTCCCTTGAGATACGAAACAATCCCCTGCGACTCTTTTTCAAATCGAATCGTGATTTCATCCTTCGCGATTCGATTTGTAAAGAACGCTATGAGAGAGACTATAGCTTTGCTGATTTTTGACATCTCTGCATTCCGATTTGATCTTAGACTGACGAAATATCCACACATTCGTTAAGATATCTACAAAGACTTCTTCGTTCCACCAGCTCATCAGAAGACAGACGCAATGTTTTGAGCAGAGGAAAGGATTTTCCAGCGGAACGGAACTTACCTACCCGAGATATTCTCGCACCTCATGGGTGTGTGTCTGCGGGGTATAATTAGGCATAGCGAGCTCGCTGATTCCAGACGCTCCTTAGGATACAGTGCTAAGCTAAGCCCCGCCCACACATTGCACCTTTTTGGCATAGAACCAAGACGTGCCAGAAAACCTGGCAATACCTGAGGACTTCGAGGCTGGCTCAGTGCCAGAATGTGCTAAGAGAGGGTTGCGAGGTTCAAAATGGAGCTGGAAAGAAAAAAGACGGTTTTAGTCAGAAGGATAAGACAAATCATTCTTCTAACGTTCCGAGAGGAATAGTGAAAAAGCAGTTTTACATGCGTATTAAGGGTGCTTTGTTTTTTGTCGAGGTTTCTTAAGCTAAAAGTCAATTCACCAAAGCAAAATTTCGGCTCCTGTAAAGAAAGGCAGCGCAAAACCAATAGCATATTTGAAAAGAGCGTCTCAGAAAACCCCTAAATCCGTATTTTTAATCAAAATCGAGCAGATAGTTGGTGAATATCAATTTTGTGATTCTACTGAATTCTCGGTTTCATGATTGATGGATGCATGGCGAAGAGTCGATGGATGGGGGCGGAGCTTAGAATACGCATAGACTAGGCTCTGTACACTATGCTTATTGCGTATCTGACTGCACATGATACCTAAGGAACGCTGCGGCAAGTCTTTCGGGTAGGTAAGTTCCCGCACCCGATTTTCCAACACGAATTATAGCCACCACCTCACGTCTCAAGCGCTTTCATTATCCCTTACTGATTCTTTCCTCAGTTTTATTGTTTCACGCTATAATTAAGGGCTAGAACAATAATGCATAACAGCTGTCCTGCTCACAACAAAACATATGTGGGCGGATAATCAACTCTACCAGATATGAAAGCCCAAAACGAAAAAAATCTGGAAAAAACTCTCGAATGATGTTCCGTGTTCTGTGTCAACGTGGACTTTCGACTTTACGCTGAATGCAACCACATATAGGCGATTTAAAATACGCAAAAACTGGGCGAGCAAGATAGCTCGTGCGTAGGAGAGACGACAGATGGTAAGAGGAAAGAAGAAGCGTTCGATCAGAGAGACGCCGATATATCAGCAGTCTTTGCGTGCAATGAATCGCGTATACACATGTGTAGATGTAGATGCATCTGAATCCCTATGAACCAAACAACCACATTATAATGTGCGCAGAGCTGTTATTCTGTGACGATGCAAAAAACTTGTCTGTAGCATATACATATGGAAATATCAATGAAGCTCTACGATCGCTTTTGAAGTACATAAGCAATAGCGTTGGGTATGTTTAAACATTTTGAGCAATTTTGTGAACGCAATTTGGACTGATAACCTTATCACCAAATGGCTTAATTAATGTCGCGAATTGAAAGTACGTGCACCGTAGTAATTTCATCCAAAGTAAAACTTTACCTCTTCCAGTTTTTCCTTATCTGCTCATCTTCAGCCGGATTGAAACGACATCGTTTTTCGTAGGGGATATCTTGGATGGGAATTACTCGTGGATATCACTACTAAAGCCAAAACCTTCAGCATACCATGCTGGCGAAGTCGCTCTATCTCCTCACGAGTCAAAGGCTGGCCACTTGTGTGATGAAATAGATACCCATCATCATTGTAGAGACCTGATTCAGGTAAGCGCTTCTTGTACTCGGGCATGAGCAACTAATAAGCAAAGATGTGGGTAATGCGGGCAATGCTGAGATTATGTATGATGAGAATGCGGGATACCAATTCACCAATTCCAAATAGATGTGGGAAAATTTTTATGATTGAAAAATTCAAATCTACAGAGAAAAGGCAAAGCAAAAAGAATTAATCACACAATAATGAGTCTAAAAACCGAAAATATCAACAACAACCGAGACATATGAATAAGCTCTCATGGCTTACACTAACCAATTAATAATTAGACTAGACATGACTTTTTCAGGCAAAAGTCAAATGGAAATAATCTCACCTTATGAAATTATCAAAAAAAAAACGCAAATTCAAAAAGAGCCACCACGAAAGAAGATCCCAATCGCAGAACGAAAGAATGGAAAAACAAATTTCTGCAATGTGAAAAATTCTTCGAAGTGGTGGGGCCACCCGTAAATCACATTTTGCCGTCTAAGTTCCTAAGCTAAGCATAAACCGGAAACATCACACGATCAAATAACCTTTAGGGTCAACTACCCAATAGGCCCCATCCAAACTTGTGATATAAGCACAGGATTTGTTGAAAACATACTCATATTGCATCTATTTGACTCTGTTTTGTGCCCACCGTATATCTCTCCATGCTACGAATCGCAAGGCAAAAAGTTTGCCAAACATGTTCACGGAAAAGTTCATTAGGCGGCGCAATGATATGCGCAGTTACCACATAAACCATTCAGCTCCTCATATTAAATACCGTTCCAAATTCAAATCTTTCGCAAAGAGAGCATCTTTCTTCCAGCAGCTATAGTGCAGTAAGCAACAACAAAGAGAGACACGGGTGTGAGATCGGGCACTAAAAAGAGGATATCAATGATAATAAGAAAACTTTGTTCGTTCAACTTACTGGATGGGATACAACCTTCGCTACTCCAGACTGTCGGAAAACGCAGGAGACGGTTGAGTGGCCAAAAGACTGAGGAAGGTATGCAGAATGCCTAAAATGGATTCTCTCAAAAGCATACGCACAAAAGTCGAGTTTCAGGAGTGCAGGACCCGTTCACAGTATAGTGGCGTAAAACACAAAGAGTGGTATCATGCAAGAATTTTACTTTCTAATTCTCAGGAAAAACCTATCCCGTAGCAAAAAATAAGGTTCGAAAAAGAGTGGCAAAGAAAAAGTGATGGAACAAAAAATCAGCACAACTTGGTAAAAGACTGCATTATGAAACTTACATTGATTCCAGAGACAAAATGAAGGAGTAGTAGTCCAACACCCTGCGCGAAAACCTTGACTCCCATTTCAATTTTCATTTGAGATGGCTGCATCATCTTCTCTTTTGCAACTGAAAATGATCCTATAGAAAAGATCAAGCAACGATTAATCATCTAAACGCAGCGACATATGTGAGAGGCACACTAGAAAAAAAATCTCCATGAAGCTTTCATTTCTTGTAACTAAAGCTTATACGAGCCTGATAATCAAATGATGCAGCCGCAAAATATCAATGACTACCGTCTTAGACAGCTTTTATATTTTGGCGCTTCTCATATTGACAAAGCAACCGCCATAGGGGGCTTGGAAGAAATACAACAAAAGCTGGAAATTGAAAGTTCAAGATAATCGAAGACAAACCCTGAACATTACAGCTAGATTCAATAATTCAAAATGAGTAAAACACCTTTCTAAGGCCTCGGGCAGAGTTCACGCGATTCGTCGCGATTCAATCGCGACAAGACAACTGTCACGAGTTCATTGCATGCCGACCAGCTTGCATCTCGGTTGTGATACTTTTCCAGCCCGAAAGTTTTGAATGCAAAACGAAACTGAATGGAAATCGTGGCGAATGAATCGCGACGATCAAATCGCGTGAACTCTGTCCGAGGCCTAAGAGTGGTGGCAATGCAATCACCTGCGGCGTCATACTCCTCCAGTTTTTTATTGAGAATCCGCTCTGTTTTGAAGTATGATGAAAATTCTGCAGTTGGTGATATATGGGCTAATTCGCTTTTGAGCCTTTGAACTTCTGCCCCCAACGACAGCACCTCCGGATTGACATGTTTTGTCTTCAGATATGACTTGATCTAAAAAATTGTAGATAAAAGAGTTTGAAGGAGCAATTACAGTATGCGATTGGGTGACGAAGATCCCAGATTTGCATCAGAATTTCTCTGTTAAAGTTTTTCAGCATGGTGAATGACATTGAAGTGGTAGCGTGTGTGTCATTTCTACCCGTTTGAGGCGGATTCACATCAACGCAACTTCACAAAACTGCCTCTTTCCAGCTACCGAAAATCAACCATGACTAGCATGATGAAGAACTTTTATCTGCCCAAAAGTTCCACATTCCCTATCTTGACCTCCCGCCCTCCCTCCCCTAACACTGTTATCGCAGCCCTGATATGTTGCCACCGTATACAAGATTGGCACAGTATTTCGTGACCAGGTCCAAATAACGCTTTAACGAATTCTCAGCGAATTATCTTTGATGATGAACTAATGTGGAACAGCGAATTATTTTTATACTTGATTTGAGATATGAAATGCACGAAAAAGACAAGATGAGAAAAGACCTTACCGTGTTGGTAACACTGGATATAAGGGGTTGATAGAAAGAGAAAACCAATGCAACGGCTGCCACGAAGCAAAAGTCATATGCAGAAAATGTCTCCTTCAGACATGCACTCTGCCTGCAGAGGTATTGCCACTTCGACATATCTTCCATTAGGTGGAAAAACTGAAAAGTATGAACTATAAACAAGGCTCGTGCCTAGCTTATAGACAATTCTAATAAACTGAATGACCATGGCATTTCAAATAGGCTAAATGAACAAGTTTGTCGCATTCTAGCTAAGACTTCACTTATAGGCAAGCTTCGTTTAAAAGAGGAAAAGAAGAAAACATGCGTCAAATAATTTGTTCGCACGTTCGCCGTTGCGGTCGACTACGGCTATTTCACGCCAAAATGGGGTATTAGCGAAGGTTAGAACAAAATGTGAATGGTAAATCTTGTCTTTATCTTGTTTCAGCAGAGTTTTCAAGTCGTGGATTTCAAAAATTAGTAGTGTGCAGTAAATCTGAATGAAGTTTTTCTCCAGGCAAAGAAGTTGGATCTGCATCACTCTTCTACTGCATTGTGTACGAGGCCAACATTCTTCATCATAGTCTCCCGGATACTGAGAGACAGGTCGTTCTAAGGGGTACAACTCAGACACTTGGAGCGTGCAGTGCACGCGTGTTTATGGTCTATGGCAAAGAGCGTGCCTTATTTGTGGGCGTGTCCGCCAGTATGCCAAACGCGTGCTATCCTAGACACTCGGTGCGTGCGGCGCGCGTATTAATGGCCAAACCGCGACCCGCGCGCTAGCTTTATGCTCGATCTCGCGGCCGCGCGCCTAATTTTGTAGCACACCGCGCGCGTGCCTTTATCCTTTATCCGTGCTGCCCGCGCGCCTGCAATTATCACATGCTATAAGCATAAGGGATACTCGCGTAGTGTACGACGCAGTGGTTGGGCTGCCCTATCATTCAAGAGGTTAGATATTAGATCTCACAAGGGAACGATACTTGGTGTCCGTGGGCTTTTGAGATGAAACGTATACCTTCACACACATTTTGGAACGCTGATTCCGAAACTGACTTCCTTTTCTGCTAATCGTTTCTCTAAAAAAAGTTATGAAGGATTTTCGCGTCAATGGTCGCCTAGGAGAAATGTGACGGATGCCTAACTTTTAAAAAGAAACTTGATTGAGGCAATGCAAAGCTGAAAAACACGAAAGGTCTCGAACCTTAACCTATACTAAATTGCGAAGCTATCTCACTAGCCATAACATGATATCTTAGCGGCGGTTTTGGCATTGCGACCACGTCTCCTTTGGCGCAAAAATCCTTCATAACTTCTTTTAGAAAAACGATTAGCAGAAAAGAAAGTCAGATTCGGAATTAGCGCTCCAAGATGAGTGTAATAGTATACATCTCATCTCAAAAGGCCACGGACACCAAGTATCGTTTCCTTGTCAGTGTATGATTAGTCGTGGAAGTAATATCTCCTCCATGACGAAGGCGGTCGCCCAAATAGGTTGACAGCATGCAAGGCTGACGCGCACGCGGCGCGCGGGCAATTGTCAACCACGGGTCGCGCGCACGCTCGCGTGAATGACCGCTGACCGAGCGTGCGTGCGCCCTGTGGTTGACAATTGCGCGCGCGCCGCAGCTTTGCATGTTTTCAACCTATTTGGGTGACCGCCTTCGTCTTGGAGCAGATATTAGAAGCTGTTTTTTGCTTCCAAGCGTTAGCCTTCGGTAGCATGGCGAATGGATGCTGGATCTGAAATCTTGGATTCAAATACGAATTCACATTTTTTGACGTACGAAGTGTGGAGTTCATTACCAAAACCTGCGTACACAGCGCGACGAAAAACTGAAAAAAATGCAGCCATCCGCGGACCAGCACCAGCGGCGCCTCAACGAGTGTCCCGCCATCCGCGCACTGGGTGTTATAGTTGTAACGAACAAAAATTTTCGCCGAATGAACGAATATCGAATAATCAATTTTTAAAATTTTTTCGAACGAATGAATATCGAATAATTGATTTTCGAAAATTTTTCGAACGAATGAATATCGAATATTTGATTTTCGAAAATTTTTCGAATGAACGAATATTATTCGACTTTCGATTTTCATTTTATTCGAATTTGAATATTCGAATATTGGCACATTCCAAAATTCGAATGAACGAATACTTGAATAACCGAACTTAATCGAATATTCGACTAATTTCGAATAAATGTTCGAATATTATTCGAATATTCAAATGCAGTATTCGAATATTCGAATATTCGAATAACTATCTTTTGAAACTACTCGAATGAATGAATATTCGAATAACCTTTATTTAAAACTCGTCGAATGAACGAATATCCGAATAAGTCATTTTTCGAAATCGTCGAATGAACGAATTATTCGAATATAGGTCTTTTTCATTTATTCGACTATTCGAATAATCGAATAAATGGACTTTCTCAAATATTCGACTATTCGAATATTCGAATAGTCGAATATTTCGAATAAATTATTCGAACACGAATATTCGGTGCTAACTATACTGGGTGTTGCGCCACCGTGTGACTGCACGCGGGGTGGAGGACATTAGGTCGCCGTGGAAGAGTCCCGCGCGGATTCCCTGCAGGAACGCATGTCCGCGCATGTACAAGGATGCGTATTTGTCGCAAATGACCGCGGGGACCGCTCTTTTTCGGCGACCTAATGTCTCCCACCCCTGCGCGCGCGCTGCACGCTCCAACTGTCTGAGAACACTTTTGAGTGAGAGCTTCAACGGTGGTTTAAGCAAAAGAATAACTTGCCTAATATGTCGCGAGCTTGCTTATGGTCTTCATCACTACACATTGTCTTCGTGTTTTTATAGGACTTTGCCTGATCGTGAAGGTCGGTTAGGGAGGTTTGCGGCCATTGCGCCACGCACGCCGAAAATTGTTGAGGGGTAAGTTCGTTAATGTCGTCAGCGCTGGATGCAGCCTGACGACAATAACGAAGGTGAATATTTGCCACCTGAGAAAAAAAAACGAGTAAAATGCAAAGAATAACGAAAGAACTCAGGCTTTCCGGCCTCAACGTATTGGGCGCGCGCGGCCAACGATCGCAAACCACACGTATACAGCAGTGGCGTACCCAGGATTTCGGCTCGGGGGGGGGGGGGGGCGCGACAAAAATTTTTTTTAAAGAAGGTGCGTGGCGTTAGCCACGCACTCCGAAAATTTTTTTGGGGTGCTTCTCAAAACTTTTGCGGGTCCCCGACCCCTAAATCTAGAAAAAGGGGGCGTGGCGTCAGCCACGCCCCCGAAAAATTTTTTTTTACAAAGCTAATTTGAATTTTTAAAAATTTTTAAAAATTATTTTAATTATTTACAAAATTAAACAAGTCACTTGCACATTTTTATAACCCACATAGGTAACTTTCAAAAATTTCGCGACCCATTCTAGGGGGGGGGGCGCGCGCCCCCCCCCCGCCCCCCCCCCTCGGTACGCCACTGGTATACAGATATATAGATATAGGTAGTTCGTTTATAAAGTCGTGGCGACGGTTACTGCGGACTTTGCGCCCACATGAGCCTAAAATGCTCATACAAGAAGCCATTACCTCAGTGTTCAGCTGAGTCACTTCCAGTGTCTATATACATGCGTACGCGAAAAAACCATTCGACTAGAGATGGAAAACAAGAAAATGCGATTTCCGGAAGGGGCGTGCGTGTTGCGCGCGGTTGCGCCATCGTCACGATTTTTCAAATGCCCTATACCTATCATCTATCTCCCAAATTTGTCTGGAGGAGGGGTTGCGGACTTCTAAATGTAAGGATAACTTGTTAAATCCTCTACGTTGCAGCATTGCTTCTCGTACTCGTTAAAGGCAGTGCCCGGCAGGTTGGCAACTTTAAGGTATCATCTTTCTTGATTCCCCTGGATGAGTTAAGTCTAGAACTGTGCTTCGCAGCTTTTGTTTTGATAGTTTACTTCTGGACGCGGAATCTGCTGTTTGGGCGGGAAGCGAAAGCCGACTCCGTTGCAGATTGGCTGCTGAGGCCGATTATCCAATTGCCGCCGAGAGTGGGGTGTCTCCACGCATCCGCACTCCACAAGCCAATCGCTCTCAAGAGGGCGGACTTTCGCTTCACCCAAATAGCACTTTCCACGTCTGGAAAGCGAGATCAACATCTTAAGAAGTTGCAGAGCCTAATTTTGAACTCAGCTCATTTAGGGATCGGAAACGATAAATACTCCGAAGTCGCCGATCTGCCGATGCTGCCCTTGAAGGCAGTGTCCGGCAAAAGTCAATTTTGAGATAATGTGCTTATAAGGGCATATTCTCCATGCTGAATCCCAAAAACCACATTGGAGAGCGCGAAAACGGCGAAAAGGGGCTCTAACGCAGGAGGGAATCAGCAAGTGGGCTTCTTATCCGCTGTGAATTCACGCTCCCAGCTTCCGGAGCGATCTTCTCGGTTCCGCCAGCCGTGCTGAGATCGCCAGCGCTCAAGTGTGAGCGCGTGACTTGAACTTGGACAGAATTTTGGAAGCTAGGGAGCGTAAATTCACAGTGTGGAAGACCCCGCCCACCTGCTAATTGTCCTCCTGCTTAGAGCCCTTTTTTCGTTTTCGTGCTATCCAGTTCGGATTTTCGGATTCAGCATAGCGGATAGGCCTGAGTAAGTACAAAATCTCAAGATCGACTTTTTGTCCGGACACTCCTTTGAATCTATCCTTATGATCAGGTAAAGTCCGCGACCCACCTCCCAACAAATCCGGGAGCCGATCATAGGTGATACAGTCAAGCAGATATGTCGTTAACTATACTTGCTCTGCGTGCCGAGATTTTGGCTGAAAGCGCCAAATCGCCGGCCAAGCGCCTGAACCAACAGTGAAGAAGTCAATGAAGTAACATAACATCCTCCATCAAATTTAGCCAGATCTTACTTCCATCAATCGTTCTATCTCCTCATCTTCACATCCATATTAACACAAATTTCATATGGAAAACCACTTTCACAAAAAGCATCGGCTCTACTCTACTCAAAACAAACCCCAAAATTAGAAAACCATGGATTTCGCTGAAGACTCGTCTTGGAGGGTTATCCAACCTGCTGATCACGGAAATGAATTCATTTTGTATGGTGGGGCCTTTTTGAGGGGTTACGATAGGTATACGGTATGACCTCAAATCTCAGAATTTGCTAAAACTTTGCATATGGGGCATATTCGACATGCTGATCACGAATATCATACTTTTTTCGCATGAAATGTCTTCCTGTATAGCTACGGTAGGTCAAAGGGAATCAAAATGTAGATTTGGCTGGAATTCGGTTTGGACGTTTATCGTATTGTCTATCGCAAAGAATTTGGTCGACCCCCTGTAGGGTAATTTGAAATTCCGATAAACAAAACATTCCTCCACAGCAGAAGAAACACGAAAGTTACTAATGACAAAGCGCAGTAGGTGATTATTCATAACTCAAAAACAATGGGAAATGCGAGACCTGAGGAGTGCAGTGCTGGCTAAAAAATATTAGGTTGTCCCGAAAGTTTTGTCGATTTTTTTCATAGCCCACTAAAACTCAGAACACTAATCCACGGACGACCTAGGAACCATTTGATTCATATTTTCATGCTCTTTTTTCAGGTATATTTGCCTCTGATCTACCCTGTCTTTGCGAAGTTATCGCCATGGCTTTTTGAGCACATCAGCAGTAACGTCAAACCTTTTCTAATTTTTGGAAATCTTTATACTGATCTTCTCAAGAAATGCTGGTGACTGTTGAGTAAAGTAAATCTTTGGCTACAACGTACCTATTTTAGATTAAGTAAATCACGTTTATCTGGTCCGTAAAAATTATTTATTTAAGAAAAACTGCAACTTTTTGATTATGTTTAACATGTAAGATTACCCGAAATTCCAAAAATCAGATTATTGAAGCAAACCAAACTCGGTTGTGTAGCATAAATATTGTTTAATAAGGTACAAGTTTCAATTCGCGAAAAATTTGAGAGTTTTCATGTTTTTGCTGCAGTTGCGTGTTTCATAACTTGACTGAAAATCGAGACTTTCGAAGAAATAATTTTTTGAAGCTAAAAACAGCAAATTAAGAGAATTTAAAAACATGGCCATATAGTCCAAGAATTGCCTTGTCTGAGCCATACTTGAACTACTCCGAAACCATGGAATGAGATTTTTAAAAATTAACTAAACTTTGAGCAGATAAAAACGACGGGTGAAGAATTTTAGCAATTATCAGAAAAGGCATGCAGAATTTGGGTTTGAAAATGTAATCATAAGAAAGAGAAGGAAATGCTGTATCGAATGCATGCTGAAGCTCCACAGGTCTTCATTGTGCGTGGTTTCATAATGGTTTGAAAAAACGGACAAAACTTTCGGGACAACCTAATAGATTAGCTGCATAGCTTCAGCCATTGAGTACGACTTCTAGGACTTTTCGTTTTTCACCGCACAACATAATAAAATCTGAAACGTTTATTCATAGTTTCCTCTAATAGTTCGTGTTTACAAAATTCACTGAACTATTAGCAATGCACATAGAGGTGTTCACATTTGTAGTTTCTATGTTGACTGGCCATTCTTCTAGACTCAAAAACTTCTACTGCATTTGTTTACCTCTGGAACCAACGACAACCAGACAACTAAAGATCTGTAATGCGCAAATGGATTTCGCTCCCCGCTAACCAGAAAGATGTATGCGTTCGATCCCCATTCGACCCGATTTCGCTGATAGAATCGCATTCAATCTCGGATACTTATCGTGTTCACGCTCAAATAGTCAGCTTACAATCGCAGTGGCTGTTTATGTCTCTCGCTTTACTGTTCCAAAATGACGCATTTCCTTCTCATCTCGTTCAATAATGACAAGCTTTCAGAATATATGTGGTTTTACCACTCTGATAATGTTTTATCAACGTTGCTTCCTTTCTGTATGCTATTCCTTTCCTATAGTATTTACGAAGTTTCCAAGTTGACAGAACAATTTCAGCAGCTCAAGTAAGTACAGCTTCATATAATGACAAATATTATTAGAATTAGACCTTAATATCATGCGAGCCCCAACGAAAACTTGCTTTATTCTGTTCGCGACAGATTTGTTTGATTTAATAATGAAGCTTTCCTGGATATTTCTAAAAAAGTTTCCAAATCAGACAGTCATAATGTATTGCTCATCGTGCACTTCTTCCAGTTAGTTGCTGAAAGCCTTCATTTGGCATTTTATTTCGACTCCGATTTCAAACGTGGTCACATACTTCGCCTAAAGGTATTGAAGAATAGCTATTCAGAATGGTAATGGTAATCAGTGCGTAGTAAAAATCTAGTAAAAATTACAAAATTCAAGAAATTTTGTTTATAAACAAAAATACTTCCAGAATTTTTCGCAACTCTATTTGAAAATGCCAATTTTGAGTACTTTCGTTTTATTGCTTCCATCTCTCGAGCCTTTTCATGCCGATTCATGACAAAGGTACTGCTGTAAAGCGAATGGTCTCCTCTGTCAGATGAACATAATTTTAAGGAAATCCATCGAGAAGAAAAAAAGTTATGATTTTTTGAAAAACAGGCAAACGAACTTTTGCACTCACCTAATATAAATAATTTGGTGTTAGGTAAGGTTTTTTGATATTTCTGTTATGGCTATTGACGAGGAGATGAAGCAGAAATTCGTACATGTAGCTACCTCCCTTCAATCCAGCAAACAAAGTGGCTCGCGTGACTGTAACTCCCGTGTCTTGCGCCAGATTTATTGAAACCAATAGCTTCCACCTCCCAAAATATTACTTTTGTTTGACATTTAGAGAGAGCAAAACGTTAGCTTTGTGGAGATGCTAAATGCAAAGATCATTGCTGATAGATTTCGAGACACAAGCAGTCAAGCAGCTTTCAAAGAGTTCGTTCGATTTCTAATAAATGGCCGATCGATTTCTAATAAATGTTATTATTTCCTTTCAGACCTTTTGTTATCGTTATGGTAAAGTCTAAGGGCCGTATGCACTAACCTCCCCGCTGGGGAGGGGATCGCAGCTTAAAAGAAAGCTTTATATTTCGAAACTCCAAATACCTGGATTTCACGTTGTGTACCTATCCGTAAGTATTCCTACTACTCTTCACTATGAACATGTTGAAGAGGAGCGAGAAGCTGTACGAACCGCATTTTCCAGCTTTTGTATGATCCCTGATGATCCCCGGCGCTTTTCTTTAAAGTCATTTTTCTTTCTCCGAAGTTAACGAAAACCTTCCAAAGTTGTACTGAGCATCTAACACAACAGTGCTAAGCATGTTGCTGCTGAGAACAAATGAGTTTTTGAAAAGTCGAATTTTTCGGTAATCCTCAAATTTCGGCCTGTGGGTCATCGAAAATTTCATGACTTCAAAACGTCATTTGTTTTATCAGCAACATGCTTAGCACTGTCGGGTAGGATGTTCAGTACAACTTTGGAAGGTTTTCGTTAATTTCGGAGAAGGAAAAATGACTTTAAAGAAAAGCGCCGGGGATCATCAGGGATCATACAAAAGCTGGAAAATGCGGTTCGTACAGCTTCTCGCTCCTGTTCAATGTGTTCATAGTGAAGGGTAGTACGAATACTTACGGATAGATATCTACACAACGTGAAATCCAGGGCCGGTAGTAATCTGGCCTAAACTCAGAGCTTAAAGCTGCGCGTTAACTCAGAGTTAACTCCGAGTTTAGTTTTGAAACTCAGAGTTAACTCCGAGTTTTGTTTTTGAAACTCGGAGTTTCGTGCTGCTACTTGCGGAGCTGCTATGGTTGTTGAGGAGCTACTATGCGCTTCATCGCAAAACACTCCGACTAGCTCGGGATTCGAACTCCCGTTGCTCGGCGCGAAGTGCCTACCACTAGACCATTAGACTACAGAACACCCTATAACCACTGCCATTCTGCCGCTATTAGTACTCCTTGCCTACATCCTACGTGTTCAGGCACGTCAAGAGGCATGGTGCCTTTTCACTCTAAGCAAGGTGATTCACTACAATACCTATACGTACTCCCCCCCCCCCCATTCTCAACCCCCACTTACGATATCATCTTCTATTCAGAAAATACCAACCTTAGAAGAATTGATTATCCCCAGCTGCATTCGATAACTAGCGAAGGTGACTGCTTTATTGACAAAACATAATTTAAGTATCTCAGCTAAAAGGTCTCGAACTCGAATATATGTAAAATGTAAAAACCATGTGTGATAAAAACACATTATGAAATCATCAACAATCATCATCCTCTATCATTTTGACAATACTATCGGCTGGCTGCAGTGGCTGACCAAGAGGGCGCCCTCCCTCCCGAGAATTAGCGAAATTTTCGAAATTTACTTACTGGGTTATAAAAATCGCAAGTGACTTGTTTATTTATGTAGATAATTAAAATAATTTTTTAAATTTTTTAAAAATTCAAATTAGCCCTGCAAAAAATTTTTCGGTGGTGTGGGTCCCGCCACGCCCCCTTTTTTTCATTTTGGGAGGCAAAAAATTTGAGAAGCACCCCAAAAACGACCGCTGGCTGATGAGTGTTCTATATTCGAATATTTCGTTCATTCTACAAATTGGAAGAGTAAATTATTCGAATATTCGAATATGCGAGGAAGAAAGGACAGTTATTCAGCTATGCAAATATTTGAGAAGTTTCGGAAATCCTTGTTCGAATATTCAAATCGACTATTGCTACTGAATATTCGAATATTGCATGCGAGTATTGGAATAATTGTTGCATTTGATATTCAATGATATTCAGTTGTTCGTTTATTCGAATAGTCATTCGATCAAGCTCGGTTAATCGAATAATCGAAAGTTCGAATTTCGGAATGTGCCCACATTCGAATATTCAAATTCGAATAATAAAAATCGGAAATCGAGTAATGTTCGTTCATTTGGAAATTTTTGAATTCAATTATTTGCTATTCATTCGTTCGATGAATTCTCAAAGACATTATTCGATATTTGTTTATTCGATAAAAACTTGCGTTCGTTACAATTATATCATGGCAAAAAGCATAGTTCATGGTTTGATCTCGGTGAAAAAATCTCTTGCGAAAATCTGTTACGTTTACATTTGTGGAGAAGGTGGTTGTGAGTATACATTAGTTTCTCAATGCTGGTAGTTTATGGTTGAGAAGGTCATGCGAAAATGATTTTAAAGTTTAAGTAGACAGATACGTTTGTGGCATCAAGGGTCGTTCTATAAGACCACTTAGGGCGCATGTGTTTTTGGAAAATATGGATGAGACTTGACTTACGGCTTATTTCACAGCGCACACAGCTTAGAGGTTCAAGACGAAATACTTCACTGATGGCTGGCTGCTGAAAACCATTGCATTTCCATGCAAAATGATTAGCATATTTATAATCAGCAGAATTACGACATCACGCAAGTTTCAGTCAGTTCCGTGATAATTTACCGCCTACAGTAAAACTACCGTAATCCCGCTTATGGCCCAGTAACGAAAAATAGATATCATATTGGTGATCAGCGTGCCAAAAACCCCACTGCAACAATTTTCAGACATTTTCGTGAATTTCGTCCAACTACCGTATCCCTACTGTAACGTCGCTAAATGGGCGAATGGTGAAAAATGAACATCATATTCATAATCAGCACGCCAAAAAAGCCCAGTGTACCAACTTTCAGACAATTTCGTGATTTTCGTCTAACTACCGTATGCCTACCGTAATCCCGCTCCGTGGCCCCGTAGCGAAAAACGAATGTTATATTCGTGATCAGCATGCAAAATATCCCCAGTGTACCAAGTTTCAGCCAATTTCGTGGCTTTCGCCCAACTACCGTACCCCTACCGTAACCCCCTTATGTGGGCGAATGGCGAAAAATGAGCATCGGATTCGTGATCAGCGCGTCGGATAACCCGGGACCAAAATTTTACAAAATTTTGAATTTTTGTGTTCAACGGTGCACCATGACCCCCCTCCCCATCATGCTTCATGAAACTCGGAGCAAAATCTACCCCGGAGGACTTTTTTCTGGACCTCTGCGTTTACGCACTATTTCTCTTTCTCTAATCAAACTCAGAGTTAATTCCGAGTTTCGCAGGCGGCTGAAACGCGCAGCAAACTCACAGTTAACGCGCAGCTGAGCTGCGCGTTTCGTCGCGTAGCGTCTCGCGTGGAACGAATTACGCTACGTTTCCATACTTGGCATAAAGTACGTCTTGCGGGGTATCCTGCCATATCATCCTTTCCCCTATTTGACTTGTTTATACAGGTGTTAATGGTCCCTGAAAGGTGCGTCTCAGAGACTCTGAGTTTAAGCTGCGCGTTTCGACAGGTTTACTACCGGCCCAGGTATTCGAAGTTTCGAAATATAAAGTTTTCTTTTAAGCTGCAATCCCCTCCCCGCGGGGATGTTAGTGCATGCGGCCCTAAGTCTTTACATGGAAAATACAATATTCTCCGCACAAAATGATTGCTAGAATATACATCAAACCGTTCTCTCGAACATTTTCATAAATAAAAAGATTCTGACATTCAACATTTCTAAACACTTTTATGATTTTTTTTGCAAATGTTTAGACTTTTGGTGCAAGATCTATGGGACAGCTCAATATCTTATATATAAAGCTGAATGTCTGTTTGTCTGTCTGTCTGTCTGTCTGTCTGTCTGTCTGTATGTCTGTGTGTACGTATGTTCCGAATAGAAAATTCCATTTCTGAACCGATCCGGACCAAACTTGGCACACATACACTACGGGCCCCGGCGGGTGTCATAGGCTACTTTTCGTCATCGATCGATATCGATTTTATCGATTTTTATCGATTTTTTTGCTGAGTTCACCTACGGGGCTGGGAGTTGGCACAGGGGGGTAATCGAGCATGGGGATACCGAATACAATATTGGTTTTCAGGATTATCGATTACTTTTATCGATTTTATCGATTTTTTGCAAAGTTTGAGCTAGGGGGCTGAGAGTTGGCACAAGGAGGTAATCGAGCATGCTGATCATCCCCAAGGGGGGTGATCAGCATGCTCGATTACACCCTTGTGTCAAATTCCAGTCCCCTAGCTCAAATTTTCAAAAAATCGATAAAATCGATAAAAGTAATGGACGATCTAGAAAACTAATATTGTATTCGGAATCCCCATGCTCGATTACCCTCCTGTGCCAACTTCCAGCCCCATAGCTCAAACTTTGCAAAAAAAATCGATAAAATCGATAAAAGTAATGGACGATCCTGAAAAGTAATATTGTGTTCGTAATCAGCATGCTCGATTACCCCCCGTGCAAAATCCCAGCCTCGCATGTCAAAATTTACAAAAAATCGATAAAATCAATAAAAGTAATCGATAATTCTGAAAACTAATATTGTATTCGGAATCCCCATGCTCACTTCCCCCCCTGTGCCAACTCCTAGCCCTGTAGGTGAACTCTGCAAAAAAATCGATAAAAATCGGTAAAATCGACATCGATCGATAACGAAAAGTGGACTGTGACACCCGCCGGGGCCCGAAGTTTATGTGTGCCAAGTTTGGTCCGGATACGGCGGAGCCGGGTAAGCCAGCTAGTAATCTAAAAAAACACATTCCTGCATTTCTGTCTTCTTCAAATTTCGGAAAAGTAATGCAAGAAAGGTTTTGAGGCAGGGTTTCAAAAATTTCTTGTATTCACTTTGATAACTTCACAGTCAAAACAGAACAGTGCTAGAAGAATGTACGAAGGAATTAATAAAACTAAAATGAATTATGCGGTGCAGAGACTCGGAGTAACCATGCTGGGGTTGATGTGAAGATATTCTAGGGAGCATCTAACTTCTGCTTCGAATGACACAGGCAAGGAGCCGAGAACAGATCGCCTCGTGGCATGGATCGAAGGAAGAGGTGAACGGGTGACTATTCTAGAATTTTTCGTGAAACTCACATTCATAAATCTCTATCGTACTTCTCAGACACTTTTTATTAAATGAACTGAAAGTGAAGTTGACAAGGGGTACTTCTACTTCAGCCACTCAACACATATTTACGTCATGTGGTCGAGATGTTTCGAATGATGGGGTACGATGTTGTCTCTGGTTCGGAACCGCAAAACTGGGATGTTTTGTGGACGCACGAATATTCACTGATGGATGACCGATATACTAATGCGATAAGAAATGCTAAGCCGCATCAGTTTGTCAATCACATTGCTGGTTCTGGTTACTATACAAGCAAGGTGAGCTGTTCCATCCCGAAATTCTTGTTGGAATTATTGAAGGCGTTATTACTTTACAAAATAACAAACACTAAATATCTTAAATTACAATGTATCGCGTGTTTCCGCATGGAAGAGATTTAGGAAAAGATAATGTTTGGGTAGTTTTCAATTTAAAGTCAGACAAAACAAAGGGAATATATTGACGATGTTCGGTACAAATTTTTTTCCAAACCAGTGCATGGATAGCTGATGCGGTTTAGAAAAATTACCGACAAGTAACTAAAACGAAGACGTGACAATTTGAGATAAGTTGAATTCATCTTGCCGACTTGTTAGATCCCCATTGTTCAAGATTTTATATTTTGAACCTAACGTAACCAGAAATTTGCTGATTTACATCCCGCTATGATGGAAAACCCAGAACCATTCAGGTTTCACTCGCTACATCGTTATCCGAGTCCAAGAATGCTCTCAAAGCATTCCAACTTCCAAAGGAAAAGGAGGCACTTTTGAGCTTTGCAAAAAGCAACCCTAATCTAATGTGGGTTCAGAAGGACAACACGCACAGGTACGCTATAAATTCCTCGTTATTATTGTTCTAGTTTTCAGTTGCTTAGGAATATCATAGTGCGAAAACTTGAGGAGATGAACTTAGAAAAGGAAAACTCATTTGTGCAGCAGTTTGTTGACAAACCCCTGCTTATCGATAATAGGTAAGGCTCACTAGTAACTCAACAGTTTTTTGATGAATGAAATATCAGAAAGTTTGATATTGGAGTCTACACTGTCGTTACATCTACATCCACTTCGTGTCTACACTTACGCTGGGGACGCTTTGATCAGGTGAATATAAATTTAGTTCTGATAACTATTTAGGAGTAGAGGTGAGGTGGTATAAGTGAATGCAAAACATCAGAAATGAGAAGCAGAGGAATATAAAAAAAGACACTAACAATAAGGTTAAACGTAAAGCACTGCTCTAAGGCAGGCGCTATACTCCTCGAGAAGTATAGCATGGCGACGGGCGATCGCCAGTCGTAGCAACTGGCGATCGCCAATATTGGCGACTACACGTTTCATAAGTATCGATTTGACGTGTGGTAACTTGTTTGGCAATTGGCGATCGCCAGTCGCTAATCGATACATATCAAACGTGTAGTCGCCGATATTGGCGATCGCCAGTCGCTACGACGGGCGATCGCCAATATCGGCGACAAAAATCGCCGGTTTTACACGAATTTGATGCATATCGATCGTCGCCATGCTATACTCCTCGAGGAGTATAGCGCCTGCCTAAGAAACTTATTCAGCTGAAATTTTTTTAGGCTGTTTCAACCTCCACTCTCCGTCATGTATTGACAATTATTTATCATTATGAATAGCAATCACGACTGTATAAGGCTAGCCTTCTAGATAATCAGTAACTATCTCTAATATAATTGTATTACATTTTAAACCTGTGGTGAGTACACAGACGAGTAAATAGATAATTGGGTACAGATAAGCCTTGGTTACATGACTACAATGAAAACTGTAACGGAAAATGTAGTCAAATTAGATCTTTTCGGAGAAGTCCTGATCGTTTGAGTAAGACCTTTATGGCCATGTCATTGTTGCAAACATCAAAATTTACCGTGTGTGCGTATTAATTGCACATTTTGAGTTCAAGTCTCGTTTTTTTTTGTTGCTGATCTTTTCGAAAATTTGGTGTGAAAATCTGGTACTCCAGTTTCCTGCATCAATTCGTTGCCAATATTTCTGCCACAGCAAAGTTGACGTTCTAATTTTCTTTGAATCCTCTCCAATGATTACCAAACATGTACACACGATCACTAACATTTCAACAAAACGTCAAATGTGACCGAAATGATTTGCTAAAGTGCGGTTCATAATTATACGAACACCCCAAATTTAGAAAGTTTTTGGGCTTTTGGAAGAAACTCAAAAAGCCGTTGGTACCACGCGATAGAGCACAGCCGAAAACGGTATACGATCCACAAGAATGGAAATCGATGTCAATCTGAGGAGTGTTTTTGCGCTTAATGCGAATTTCTAGCGGTTCATAATTATACGAACACCTCAAACAAAGGTCCATTTTTTATCTGAGATTGCAATTTTTCGAGTCCAAACTTTTTATAGAGTTACAGTAACAAAGTCTAATATATCTGCTACACACTGCACCCAGTGCAGCTCAAAAAGAGGATCGTTACTTTTTTCAGATGGCTCTAAATGCTTTTGGAGTGATTGCGCTCCAAAAACATACGTTCTTCTGTGGTTTACGCACTCTAATTAGCTTGTACCAAGGCTAAGAGATAAAATAAGCTCCTTCGATAAATATTTTGTTTGACGTTTGGAAAATCTATGCGTTTTCGTACCGTTTTTCAACCAAGTTCCAACCTTACCCTAGAGTCAGCACGATTTCGAGCCTCAAAACTCGGCTTCGGAAGCCCCACAATGAAGTAAGCAGATGGTATGTAGTAGTTCACAAGACTATGTATTTGGCTAGAAAAAAATCAGCAGCGTTGAGCGCTTGTTTTGGCCACGCAGACGTCATTTCACCAAAACCACTGTTTTTACTATTGCAATCACAACTTTATTTGGTTTTTTGCTCCATAGCTTCAAGATCAGTTCTACAAAAAACACAAAAAAGTTGGCACGGATACATCATCATGCAAGGAATGCAGCTGCTCCATATCAAATGTTTGCGTGAGAGAGAAGCTGAGTTTTGAGGCTCGAAATCGTGCCAACTTTAGGGTAAGGTTGGAACTTGGTTGAAAAACGGCATGAAAACGCATAGATTTTCCAAGCGTCAAACAAAATATCTATCGAAAGAGCTTATTTTATCTCATAGCCTTAATACAAGCTAATTAGAGTGCGTAAACCACAGAAGAACGTATGGTTTTGGAGCGTAATCACTCCAAAAGCATTTAGAGCCATCTGAAAAAAGCAACGATCCTTTTTTTAAGCTGCACTGGGTTCAGTATGTAGCAGATATGTCAGACTTTGTTACTGTAACTCTACAAAAAATTTCGATTCGAAAGATTGCAATCTTGAATGAGTGGACCTTTGTTTGAGGTGTTCGTATAATTATGAACCGCTGAAAATTCGCATTAGGCGCAAAAACACTCCCAAGATTGACATCGATTTCCATTCTTGTGGACCGTATACCGTTTTCGGCTGTGCTCTATCGCGTGGTACCAACGGCTTTTTGAGTTTCTTCCAAAAAATCCAAAAACTTTTAAAATTTGGGGTGTTCGTATAATTATGAACCGCACTTTATATAGCACCTGAATAACACTGCGATGGTAATCGCTCAGAGAGCCATTAGATATCATGGTAAGCAACCTTCTAACCAATTTTGAAATTCTCAGAGAGACTCTCAAAAGTTTTTCATTGTTACATCTACAGTTGTGACAGTGGAATGTGAAAAATTTCGGCGAATTCGCCGAATTCGCCGAATTCGCCAAATTCGCCGATGTCGCCGAATTCGCCGATGTCGCCGAATTCGCCGATGTCGCCGATGTCGCCGACTTTGCGTCTTTTCATCATAACTCCCTTCTTTCTCGATGGATTTCAAATTTGAAGGCAGATTTGGATTCAGCTCGCCGAGACGAATCTTTTCGTATATTGAACTGCTGTAATCGGCTCGGTCACGGTAAGTGCATGGTAGGAATCCGTTGCATCCTGTGGTGGTGTTTTCTAGAGTGTGTATTTCGGCGCATAATGTAGGCAAAGGTTTAAGAAAAAAAGCGTTTGATGGAAGAGTTTCTGCAGAATGTTTCCAGCAGAAAACCATATCTTTTTTTGTAGTGGAAAAAAGAGAAAGGAGTACGAGAACTTAGTAAACATACATGAACCACTTACCGTCAAACAAACATAACTATACAGTAACACTGATTAGCAAAACAATTATAATCTTTGTAATCAGCATGTCTTGCTGCTTATGTGAGCAAAGTGACACACCGCATGACTATGATATTCTGCTTCCAGCAAAACTTCACTTTTTTCTGCAGACGCCTCTTTGCAACGCTGTGGGCCAGCCCCTTTCACACATAAAAGATTCCGCTAAGGCGAATCGGAAAGAGTTGTTTCCGTAGATAATCCTGCGGTAAAAAGTAGACGGAGACATGCTTTATAAAGCGCGAAAAGAGATGGTGAATTCTGCAAAAATCACGCGACTTTAAATTCTACTCGCTATAACTTCCTTCGGAATAGGTATATTCTGAATCCGAAAACAGTTTTTTGCTCAGCTCATCAAGGCGAATCTTTTAGTATACAGCATGTCCTTGATATCTCGATTTCAGTATTCTTGAATCTTTCTGCGGACGTTTTTTCTCGAAGGTGTAAAGCAGCGAGCGTTGTCCCGAGTAGACTCCAGCAGGGACCTTTTGATAGTACTTTTTCTGTAGATTGTGATGCGCTAAACAGTAGCCGCAATTTTCTTTTCAAAGGAAAAAGATGGGCTGGTGAATTGTGGAAAAATCTTGTCGTCCCAAATTCTACTCGCCATAGCCATAGAATATGATGCTCTCTTGCTAAGCAGATGCGATTATCGTAATCAGCAGGTCGGATAACCACTATGAGCAAGTTTTCCGAGATTTTCGGGTCATTTCATTTTTTCTCGTTTTACGCTCTGGAAGCTCGCCGATGGATTTCGGTCAAAATGTTGATGCTCCTGAATTGTAAGGAAACTTCGCTTATAGAGGTTTTCGAACACGCTCTTTACGAAAATCGTGGTCTTTGAGGATTACAGGATCTTTTTGGAGAGATACGGTGAGGTGACTGTAACTGCACCACGAAAGTGCGTAAATTTGCCCGCACTTCTCGCGTATCTCTCAAAAACCTTGCCTGCTTGCTTTTATCAGTCAAAGTGGCTAGGAGCTGAGCTATCGAATGGTGCATGAATCGAGCTCCAGTCTATAAAATGCGCCGAGTTACAAGCCTTCGAAAACACGTCCTCATGAAATTTGCACAAAATGTAAAGATCGCGTACTTTATTGAAATTCCATCGTGAGCGGTTGCATGAATAATTGCAAATGTTATGTTCACCCCGCCCGCGTTTTATACAACCGCTCACGATGGAATTTCAATAAAGTACGCGATCTTTACATTTTGTGCAAATTTCATGAGGACGTGTTTTCGAAGGCTTGTAACTCGGCGCATTTTATAGACTGGAGCCCGATTCATGCACCATTCGATAGCTCAGTTCCTAGTCACTTTGACTGATAAAAGCAAGCAGGCAAGATTCTCGACAGATACGCGAGAAGTGCGGCCAAATTACGCACTTTCGTGATGCAGTTACAATCACCTCACCGTATCTCTCCAAAAAAACACTATAATCCTCAGAGACCACGATTTTCGTAAAGAGCGTGTTCGAAAACCTCTTTAAGCGAAGTTTCCTTACAATTCAAGAGCATCAACATTTTGACCAAAATCCAACGGCGAGCTTCCAGAGCGTAAAACGAGAAAAAATGAAATAACCCGAACATCTCGGAAAACTTGCTCATAGAGGTTATCCGACCTGCTGATTACGATAATCACATCTGCTTAGCAAGAGAGCATCATATTCTATGGCTATGGCGAGTAAAATTTGGGACGACAAGATTTCCACAATTCACCAGGCCATCTATTTCCTTTGAAAAGAAAATTGCGGCTACTGTTTAGCGATCATAATCTACAGAAAAGTACTATCAAAAGGTCCCTGCTGGAGTCTACTCGGGACAACCCTCGCTGCTTTACACCTTCGAGAAAAAACGTCCGCAGAAAGATTCAAGAATACTGAAATCGAGATATCAAGGACATGCTGTATACTAAAAGATTCGCCTTGATGAGCTGAGCAAGAAACTGTTTTCGGATTCAGAATATACCTATTCCGAAGGAAGTTATAGCGAGTAGAATTTAAAGTCGCGTGATTTTTGCAGAATTCACCATCTCTTTTCGCGCTTTATAAAGCATGTCTCCGTCTACTTTTTACCGCAGGATTATCTACGGAAACAACTCTTTCCGATTCGCCTTAGCGGAATCTTTTATGTGTGAAAGGGGCTGGCCCACAGCGTTGCAAAGAGGCGTCTGCAGAAAAAAGTGAAGTTTTGCTGGAAGCAGAATATCATAGTCATGCAGTGTGTCACTTTGCTCACATAAGCAGCAAGACATGCTGATTACAAAGATTATAATTGTTTTGCTAATCAGTGTTACTGTCACCACGGATCTCCCTCATAGAGGGATCACAGCCGGTTGGTCGCGACGCTACGTGGGGCGTCCCCAGGTGGCGGATAGGGGGATAACCCCTCGCCTGCTCTGATAAGCAAGCGGAGCCGGGGGACGGACTCCCTGCCTCCACTAAAAGCTTGCACTCAAATTTTCCGGGTAGGTGTGTGGGGAGGCGAGTTCGGAGTCGCCTCCAACAAATAAGCTTCGATCGTCCCTCGCGGCGGTATTGAGCCCAACAAGCTATTGCGAGTAAAATCTTGTTCGACACAGTGAAATTATGGAAAGCTCCTTTGATCTTGGAAGAACACTGGTAAGGCAGCGCCAGTGGGGACAAGGTTTGAAAGGCGATCTAGGCTGCCGAAAACGAGAAGGACTATGATGACGATCTGTACTTACAACGCGAGGACGCTGGCATCGGACGCATCTATCGAAGACCTCAGATGCAAGCAAGGAAGATCAAGTACGACGTCATCGGACTGACCGAGACAAGGAGGCACCACCCGCTGAACGCCACATTTGAGACTAGAGAAGAACTGTTCCTAGGAACATGCGACAGTCGAGGAGCAGGTGGGGTGGGAGTCCTTGTCAACACGAGTTTGGCCATGAACATCGATTCGTTCGAACAACTTACAACTCGAATCGGACGTTTACGAATATCAAGATGTGGATCAATCCCTGCCTTTACCGTCTTCATTGCATACGCCACATCCAGCTACGACGAGGACGAACTCGAGGAATTCTATATGGACTTGGAGAAGTTCTACAGAGAAGATCATACCTTCTACAAGATCATCGTCGGTGATTTCAACGCGAAGATCGGAACTAGAAGGTCGCCTGAGGAACTTCACATCGGAACCCATGGTACAGGTGGAACGAACAAGGGGAGAGACTGTCCGAGTTTATCATGGCGACGAGGACTATCCATGGAAACTCACAGTTCCAAAGCCCTCTTCCCGACGCTGGACCTGGGAGCCACAGGCAACTGCCGACTGACGTCCGAGCTTGCGAAGCGATGCAGAGAAGCGATAAAGACCTTAAGAAGAGAAGAGTAGCAGTGATGGTTGACGCCGCAGAGGTTGGAAGAAGTATACGTAACGCCCGCCGAAGCTTCGTCAACTTGAAGACAAAGATGACCGCACTTCGTCGTCCTGACGGAACCATAACTGCTTCCCGAAGATCAATGGAGAAGATCATCCATCACTTCTACTCGGATCTCTTTGCGAGCCACGTCCACCTTCCACCATGCCATCTCAAGGAGGACGAGTATGTCGCACCGTCTGTTCTCCCTTCCGAGATTCGTCATGCTATCATGTCGATGAAGAACCGTACAGCACCCGGTCCCGACAGGATTAAGCCAGAACATCTGAAGAATCTTTCGCCAGTTCTCATCAAGACTTTGGCAAAGGCTCTTCACGCGGTACCTGACGGAAGGCAAGGTTCCAAGACAATGGAAAACCAGCAAAACCGTGTTGCTGTACAAGAAGGGAGATCCCTGCGACATCGGCAATTATCGCCCTCTGCTTGTTGTCTGTAGTCTACAAACTCTTTACGCGAGTTATTCTCAACAGGATTGGAAGAGAGTTGGACGAAGGACAACCATGCGAGCAAGCTGGGTTTCGAAGAGGATTCAGCACAATCGACCACATACACGGTGTCAAGGCTCATTGAAGTGTCACGAGAGTATAAGATGCCGCTCTGTCTCACCCTCATCGACTTGAAGAAGGCCATTGACTCGGTTGAGACTGAAGCCGTCATCGATGCCTTGAGCAATCAAGGTATTCCGACTCATCACATCAAGATAATTCGTGAGCTGTATAACGACTTCACAACCACCATAACACCACTCTACAAGGACATCATCATCGACGTGAAGAGAGGCGTGCGACAAGGCGATACTATATCGCTGAAACTATTCAGTGCCGCTCCGGAGAACGTCATGCGTAAGTTGGAATGGGACAACATGGGAGTGAAAGTCGACGGCCGGCAGCTACACCACCTTCGCTTTGCTGATGACATCGTATTGATAACACCAAGCATCACGCAGGCGGAACAAATGCTGGCCCAGTTTGACGAAGTGTGTGGAAAGGTCGGTCTACGGCTGAATCTAACGAAGACGATGTTCATGAGGAACGGAAGAGTGCCTGATGCTCCTTTCATGCTCAACGGGACGAACATCACCGAATGCTCAAGCTACACCTATATAGGTCGTGAACTCAATATGATGAACGATCTAGCTCCGGAACTGAGCAGGAGGAAACGTGCAGCATGGGGAGTATATAAGACAATTGAGGACGTAGTGAAGAAGACCAAGAACATCTGGCTCCGCGCCCACCTTTTCAACTCGACGGTTCTTCCTGCTTTGACGTACGCTTCAGAAACATGGACACTGAGAAAGCAGGATGAAAACGCGGTTAGCGTCATCGAATGAGGTGTTGAGAGAGTGATGCTAGGAGTGAATCGACTCACGCAAGTGAGGCAAGGATTACGAAGTTCTACCCTACGCCAACGATCGAAGATCAGGGACGCTGCCGCGTACGCCAAGCAGAACAAGATAAGGGCACGTAATGCGTTTCGACGACAACCGGTGGACGAGAGCTGTAACAGATTGGATACCACTGGACGTCAAACGCGAACGAGGAAGACCGCCGACGCGATGTTCAGATATGTTCACGAAGTCCTCTAATGAAGTCCTTCAGAGCGTTCCACGTGTTCCTGGTGCGATACGTAAACACTGGTCAACAATCGCCCGAGACAGGGACGAATGGAGGCATCACTGGTACCCGCTCGTGCAACACGATGATCAACGGGGATACAGGTGATATAGTGATACAGTGTTACTGTATAGTTATGTTTGTCTGACGGTAAGTGGTTCATGTATATTTACTAAATTCACGTACGCCTTTCTCTTTTTTCCACTACAAAAAAGGATATGGTTTTCTGCTGAAAACACTCAGCAGAAACTCTTCCATCAAACGCTTTTTTTCTTGAACCTTTGCCTACATTATGCGCCGAAATACACACTCTAGAAAACACCACCACAGGATGCAACGGATTCCTACCATGCACTTACCGTGACCGAGCCGATTACAGCAGTTCAATATACGAAAAGATTCGTCTCGGCGAGCTGAATCCAAATCTGCCTTCAAATTTGAAATCCATCGAGAAAGAAGGGAGTTATGATGAAAAGACGCAAAGTCGGCGACATCGGCGACATCGGCGAATTCGGCGACATCGGCGAATTCGGCGACATCGGCGAATTTGGCGAATTCGGCGAATTCGGCGAATTCGCCGAAATTTTTCACATTCCACTGTCACAACTGTAAGCTTGCTAAAGAATGTGAATATTTTCGAAAAGGAGAGCAAGAGCCAAAAACAGAGTTCTTGCCTCCTCCTTTCAAAGGTGGAGTTTATAAAATTTCTACATCGGAGAAGTAACGAAGTGAAACAAATTTTCGTTTTATATTGCAGGTTCTGTGCGGAGAACTACAATCCCTTCGATGTGAATAAACTGGACAAGTACGTTGTCGGGGACGACTACACTCCAATATGGGAGGTAAAACTTTGGTTAATTCTGTGTACCTCACTCAAATCAAGTCTTCCCCATCTGTCACTCGTAAGTCATCAATAAATTCAAAAGAACGTAACCCAGGCAGCTCAGTAATTTGCCCAAGAATGACCTCATGGTAGCTTCACTGAACCGAGATACTAGCATATTATAGGTTGATACCAGATACTGTCCTAAATGCGCTATTCTATTTCAGACAACGCAAGATAAAAATGCAAAAATTCGGACCTTGCCAAAATTATGCACGCATTCTATACCACAGGCTGATTACAAAAATGTTATTTATTTCGTATCATAGGGTCCTTTCTGTGGATTAGATGGGTACAAGTATTGGTTCAAGGTCTGAGCATTCGCTGTAACTTTCAGATAGGAATTTGACTGCTATTTATTAATATGTCCACGTGTTTTCATTGTATAATTAACAGTAAGTAGATTGTATGGGATGCTACCTCTGTTCCTACATTTGTCAGGATAAAGGTTCATGACGCCTTTACCTGATGTGTAGCGGGTTACATTAGTCTTACTATAATCTTTATTATACAAACTATATACAAAAGGGGAAAGGAAAAGGGGGAAGAGGGAACCGTCTCCTGACGGCGGGCGGAGGTCCCTGCCAGAGTTTCGTTATCTTAGGCCAACCTCCATCGCGACCAGCTGTTGGGTAATAGCTGCGTCCCGACATCTCCATTCCTTCAGAAAGCTCGTCCTCGAGCTTGTTTGGCTGTTGTCAAATGTCTTCCGAGTAACGTGTGTAAGGAGTACACGTGATACGGCGAGACCATAAGGAACTTCGACTTCGGTACCATTATCCTCAGATTCATCTATCGAGTAGGGAATTTGGTTTAGGCGAGCTGGATAACCAACCAACGACCTTCACCTCATCCTGGGGGTACTGACAAGGGAAGGATACTCGGTCGAAGTGGCCATTTGGAATGAGCTGTATATTAGGAAACCGTCCTCCGTAAGGCAAACTCAAAACTACTTTCGCTAGGTGCCGAGCGGTTTTGTGGGGGGAGTTACAAGGCCATTTTCCTCCGGCGCAGCCAGCGCACCCAGTGATGAGCGAGGCGCTAGAATGACGCAGCAGTGGCGCAGTGGCAACGCAGCGGACTACGAAGCAGATGGTCGAGGGTTCGAGTCCTATTGCTGCTATTTTGTTTTGCAGTTCTGTAAAAAGTCTATTGGGTGACAGTAAACGAAAAATACTCATTTCTAGGCAATTGAAACAAGCTATTTACTGCAAAAAAGTCACTATTTCTACAATAGGCTATAATCTTCTACAATATGTAAATCTGTGGAGGTTATGACGTCATAACAATGGATTCAAATGATATATTAACATGTATGGAAAAAATTATTAATTATATGAGAAAAAAAATTCGAGTCTCCTATTTAGCACTGTTTTTCACCGACTTTGATAGGCAATTGTGAAGCTGCTGATTGTCATCGTTTATATTTCATACGGTGTGCGCGCTGCGAGAGCTCTTCTGCTTTGAGCATTTTGTGGTCGTATTCCATACATGTTAATATATCATTTGAATCCATTGTTATGACGTCATGACCTCCACAGATTTACATATTGTAAAAGATTATAGCCTATTGTAGAAATAGTGACTTTTTTGCAGTAATTAGCTTGTTTCAATTGCCTAGAAATGAGTATTTTTCGTTTACTGTCACCCAATAGACTTTTTACAGAACTGCAAAACAAAATATCAGCAACAGGACTCGAACCCTCGACCATCTGCTTCGTAGTCCGCAGCTTTGCCACTGCACCACTGCTGCGTCATTCTAGCGCCTCGCTCATCACTGGGTGCGCTGGCTGCGCCGGAGGAAAATGGCCTTGTAACTCCCCCCACAAAACCGCTCGGCACCTAGCGAAAGTAGTTTTGAATTTGCCTTACGGAGGACGGTTTCCTAATATACAGCTCATTCCAAATGGCCACTTCGACCGAGTATCCTTCCCTTGTGAGTAAGCTTGTCCTCAAGCTGAGAAATAAAAATGGAGGATGTGACGTTAGGGACTGCTTGGAAAGGGCAGTGACATGTAGTTGCATGGATAAGGCATGCTTTCAAAGACTGACGGATGGAAATACTTTTATGTGGAGATTCTAGGAGTGTGATGACGTGACTGGTTTTTGAAGAGTAGTAGGTGGAAATTGGGTGAGGGAAACAGCTTTTGTTTAGAACATGAATAAAAACAGCTTGGCGAGCGAAAATTACATAGTTAACAAAAATATTAGGCGGTATTGGATGACATTTGTAACTCTGAAGTTATATTTTACATGAATTAGCGAAAATTACATAGTTAACAAAAATATTAAGCGGTATTAGATGACATTTGTAATTCTGAAGTTATATTTTACATGAATTAATTGAGCGACAAGTGGATTGAGTCATGTGATAATAAGGCGTTGTGTAATTTATACCGAGTATATGGTTATACAACGTATAAATAATGCGATTGTTTACATAACGAAAAAAAAGATATGCTTAATTAAGCACAACAAACTGTGTTTAATTCAACATAGTGGCAGATTTTGAGTGTTAGAAAAATGGGGATTTTTTTTTCGCTGCCTAGTATGAGAATTTTTTTTCATTCTTTGAATTGCCGGTTCAAAGAAATTGAGGCATATATGTATTAAACGCAGCGTTGCGGCAAAATAAATGTAAACAAACTCACGTGATAAAAAATCGCGAGGGCAAAAAAAAGGAAACGCCGTTAATCAGACTTTTTGTTAACTGATTGCGTTGAAAAATTGCCTTGTAGTTTTGCAACTGATTTCAAGACTACAATCATGAACAAAAACATGATATCGTTCATCTTCTGATGTTTTCCTTTTTTTTCGATGCTTTTTTTTAAGTTTGGAAAACATTAGCCGATAACCGATATTTACAAGATGGAATCGCAGATCGAACTGTACAGCTTGAATCAGACACAACAATAGTTAGCATAGAAATGTACTACCAGAACGCTTCCGCTGCAAAAACTACGATTGGTAGCTTGTGATTATAAGTATGAAAACTTCAGCGGAAATGATCTTAACATCATGTGTGTTAATTCACTACTAACATGCAATCGTGAAAGCTATCTATGTTTCTTCAACGTCCAAATCCAATACAGAAAATTCTATAGGATGACTGTTCCTGAATTTTGCTAAAATTCATAAAGGGTATATCATCATTATTTTCTATGAAGAAAGATGAGGACTGGTGGAAATAGAAACAATTTGAACAGTTCCTTGAGACTTCAATCCGAAAACGTCTGGATTGAAACAAAGAATGTGCTTTATTTTGCGTGTAGTCAGCTTGGGCTGAACACTATTCAAAAAAAACTGTCATTGCTTCCGATTAGAATTTCAATCTGGATATCCAACATGTTCAGAAGCACTGAGAATTTTTTTTGACAGCAAATCTCTTCTGTGAAGCGTTTTGATTGAGGAGCTGTTCTCTGAAAACAATCTCCAATCAGCTACAAAAAATATTCGCTGAAAATACTGCGCTATTGCAGACTTAGTTTGTGCAACTGCACAAAACTGGAGAAACTGCGATCTTCCATTGTTCTTACCAATAGCATGTCCATTTTTTTCTTTTTGAATCTAGTCATTTCGCGCTTTTTTTAATCTTGAAGTCAAGTTCGTTAGAAAAAACATTTGGTTTTTTTGGTATCAAAACCTTTATGTATGTTGTATAGAAAAGCTAAGATTTGAGAACTGATCTGAATCACGCTAGTATTTTGCTCTGCACGTTCATTGAGAAAACTGGAAATCTTTTGGAAAGGGAAGAAAATCCACGTCTGAATATCTATCTATCCTCATGATTAACCTGGTGCAGTAGTAAATGATATCCCAAACTATGCGTCAGCAATTGCTAGCAAAACTTACAGCTGATTGGATGTTGACTTTGAGAAATTGAGGCTTGATCAGAGCTGTTTTCTGTCGTTAAATCCAAGAGATGCGGATGTCCTGAGTGGTTCCAAAGTTCGTCAATTTTGCTCTTACCACACAACGGAACTGTATTTTTCCTTTTACAAAAAAATTGGCATGTATCTGAGACGTGACGTCAGTAACGTCAAATTTGCTTACAAGGTGAGAGCTCAAAATTTAATTGTTGCGATATTTCGTTTGATCTTAAACGGTCAGACTTGACCATCTCAAATGATTTCTTTGAGGTTCTCAAAAATGTGATTTTATAAACGAAAGTGGTTCTAAAATCCTCTCAAGCATTGCTGTTTGTTTCAAACTGACTGCTTTGTAAATCTTTGAAATTTACTGGTTCGAGCTTCTGATTGAGCTAGAGCAACGGTAGGTATAATTAAATAAAATCAGCGTTCAGATTTTTTTGGAAAGATCCGACATAGGCAAGTTTTAATTCTTTTGAATAATCTTTGAAGTTACAAAGGTTGCTGCAAAGTGAGAATGCTTTGTGGAGTGTTGAAAACTATGACTGGTGGCTAATTTCAAAACTTTGTGATTTCTGCGCGGGGCTTGATTTTAGATAAGTATTTTCTGCTGATTTCAAAATGCATGTAAGTTCTCGCAGATATATGACTGGCAACCATTCTTTTCTAATGAAGAGCTTCATAATCAGTGACGAAACAGTATAGAAAACATGGCATCAAGCCTTCCGACTGTATTGTATGGTTTAAGATGGATTGCACTGAAATTATAGAACAAATTACTCATTTTGAAAATAGATGGTGACATATGGTGTAAAAATAGTAAATCGCAAACTTTTGGAATGGTTTCATGATCAATATGTCAAAGATCTCTAGAAATTAAATCATTCTGTTCCGGTCGCCTATACAAATCTCCAAACTATAATTTTAGAAAAAAAAATTTTTTTTGGTAAGTTGCATAAACTATAAATCAATACCATACTAACATTCAGCAAAAAAAAATCTTGAAAATGGAAACGATATGGTTTCAAATTTTGAATGGTGCTCTGTTACGGGTAATTTAAAGTTGTAGCCTGAGGTGTCAACTGAGATTTAGCTCATAGGAAAGATCGTGCTTGACTATCATATCATAGAAATGAGCAGGAAGATCGGAATACGAAGTGATTTGTATTGTTTTTTTAAACAACTTGAATTTTGTGAGGAAATTATTTCAAAATTTTGTTTTACGAAAATGTTCTCTGAAAACATTTGTACTTTACATCTGCATCACGTCTAGATGTTGCAAATTCTCGAGTCTTTCTAATCGTCTAATTCATAGGAAGAATAGTAGTCGTTTTTCGCAAATAAGCTCTGGACTGGAATTCGCTGCATTTACTTTATAGATTAGCAAAAATATTAAGCTTTTTATTCAGCTAGAAATTTATTTGAAGCTGGTTTTCAGAGCTTCCTGTGTTTGATTACATGAACACTCGGGATAATAAAAAATTTGTTCAAATGGCTTAAAAGTGTGGCTCATATTTATGTTAAGCTGGTTTTTTTTTAATGGTCTTTCGCAAATACAGGTTCAAAGCAGAAATATTTGATGCTTGTCTACGTTGGGATAATTTTTTTTAGGGTGTACAGATCTGTTACTTTGGAAAGAATGAGATTTTTCAAAGGATAAAGCATTTTGGCTTTTTATCTCTATGTTTCTTATACTCTTTCAAATTCAGATATTCCAGCAAAATACTACATTCTCAAATTGGCAGAAGTACTTCCCAAAACTAGTTTTTTTTTTCAAAAAAAAAATTTTCAAATAGAGTTTTATGCTAAAGTGTCTGGTTATGAAAGAAGATCTCAAAGGTGCTGCTGAGTAGACTATGAAAGCATTAGCGTCTACGAATTTGTGTTAATCACTTTTTAGAAATGGAGTTTTTGATTCTTGAACCTCATTTTTGTGTGTTACTAGTTCTTACTTGTTAGAGCTGATTTTTTTTGAAATCGCTCTTCAAATGTGTCTTCTTCTTAGCTGCATAAGTATATCAGAACTCCGTCATCAAATGTTAGAAAAAGTGCTACAAAAAAAATGTGGTAAAGCTACCGTAGTTAGAAGTGTATTCACGGCATTTCAAACTGAGATACTTTTAATAAATACTGCCTTCAAAGTTTCAAAAAAATTGATTGAAAAAATTGTTTATTTTTTGCGATATAAATTTGCGGATATCACTGCTCATAAAGGAAAGTATCTCGGAATATATACTGAAAAATTACTTGTTCAAAGCAGCACTTTGAAATTCATACATTCAGACCATGTCGATTTCCTTCTAGCTTCTCTTTTGAAAAGCCTTTCTTGAAAGAAAAATGTGAATATAAATCGATTACTTGAAAATTTGCGCATTTTGCAAATATTAACTTGCTTTGCAATGGGGGAAAATTTCGTCTTTGTGTCAGTAATTGCGAATGTTGTGTTTTTTTTTCAAAACTAATCCCAAGTTTTCTTAGCTGTTGTTGGTAGAGAATTTAATAGAACGATTTTTTTAAATGGCATGTGTTTCAACGTTATTATTCGAAAATGGTTTGTGCGCATTTTTGTGACTAAATTAGATTCTAAGGACAATTGGCTACTGAATTTATTTTTCGCCTCGAGCAACAGCAATAAATATCATCTAACTCTGAGTTATGCTATCTGTTCCTTATGGTTGAGGCTAACAGATTCGTCATGGTTAACTCTGAAATGGATGAGTATTCACTTTTAGCTGGCATGGCAGGCACGAAGTATAATGCTTGAGGTTTTGAATTAACATTCTCAGCGATTAAAGTTTTAGAAGCATTTGCGACATAAGATGAAAATGTTGCTGGCAATGGATGCTGGTGTTTCTATAATTACACCTTTTTTTCGTGCTTGGCTGCAAAGCGGATGCCTATTGAGATTGAATTCTTACTACTAGCCACCGGTTAACTTGTAGTAGGCATGCGCCGAAACCGATGGATGCATCGGTGTGGATGATTGAAGATTCCCTAAAATAGGGGCACTAAAACACGCGCATCCACTAGAGCTTGTTTTAGTGTTTCAGATGCTGATGTTCCTTCTCCTAAATAACACCATTACTAAAAAGAATGTGGTTAAAGGTTCGGCAATTACGGCAAAACGTGTTTAAATCTTCGAAAGTACGATGGCACTTAAGAATAATTTTAGCGCTTTTACTGTCTGCGAGGCGCGGGATTATATTAACTATACTCTCGACCTTTCTTTTTGTGGTTGGAGCACCGTTTTTGCTGAATAGTACAGATGCTGCGCTCAAGATTGGAAAAAAAATGCGCACTTGAGAGGTCAACTCTATTCCAAATTTTTGTGAATGCACGCGAAGACCAGTAAACGGTCATTGATCTTTACTATATCCTTTCCTTACAAAAATTATGAGAGAAGTTAACTTCGTGCTAGGTTCGACTGAACGTTCCGTAACATTTATTCAATCTGGAGCTATATTTCATTTCTTTTTTTTCCAATGGGACACTGTATGGTCGCTATTTGGAACTATGCCAGAAACAAATTTGATGCGAATAGTAAAGGACCTTTAGAGGGACCTAATCGCCATCATGGATGACAAAAGCAAAATGGTACTTTTTTTTAAAGTCGGAAAAATAAATTTCTTCTGTTCAAAAGTGTTTCATTGAAGTGAACGACATCATCAACGTTATTATCTTTTCCAGATGGAAACTTATTTCGTATGACTTGATAAAGTAATCTGCCCTAAGTAACTAGTGTATTAAACCAACTTACGTGAGGCAGACGCAGCGCAGCGGCAGATAAGGTCACACTTGTTGTTGCTAAACGCCTATCATAATCATGAAAGGTCAGCGTGCGCAATTAATGTATTTGCTAGACCGTAGCGCGCAAATATTGTTAGTGTGCGGCGAGGTCAAATGCTTACATCACAGGTGGGCTGCTGCACTACTTTATCACCAGGAAAGGTCGACACGCTCGGACAGTTGCACTCGTTCTGTTAAAATGCCTAGAAGGTCAACGCAGCATTTGCGCTATATCACTAGCGACTCTAATTGATCGACTTATCCCATAAGAGGCTTTCTGTACATGAGCCAGTAGCTAGCTGGATCGAAGCAATTAACACAGATCTGAATTTTGCTAGCGGTTGCGAACAAGTCCATTGTCTTATTGAGGAAGAAAAAAAAATCAATTGAAAATCACGGATCACGGTTGCAAAAAAATAAATCACGGCTCGAGGTATTTTATCTAGATATTCACGGATCACGGCTCACGGATCACGGAATCACGGACATGTATTTTTACCAAAAAAGTCACGGATAAGCTTTTTTCCAAAAAACCACGGCATTCACGGACTCACGGCTCGCGGTATTTAATCTAGATTTTCACGGATCCCGGTAATTTATTAAGCGAAAATTGACATAATGGGACTGTTCGCAGGACTGTACATTTTTATTTTATTTTTTTCTGAAATGATTAGATATTTGTGTAATTGTTGATAAATATGTAAATAGAATAGCATAAAACTCACACACTCTCTCTCATTCGTTGGTGAGCGACTCCTTCCATACGATTGGAGGGTTGTAGAAGGGGGGGGGGGAATTAAAATTTTCAAATCCCTATTCAAAAGTTTATCAGAATTAAATCTGCTTTTAGAATTCTAAAAAATATCTCCCTGGGACTTCCATGTCAGGATAAAGGTTCATGACGCCTTTACCTGATGTGTAGCGGGTTACATTAGTCTTACTATAATCTTTATTATACAAACTATATACAAAAGGGGAAAGGAAAAGGGGGAAGAGGGAACCGTCTCCTGACGGCGGGCGGAGGTCACTGCCAGAGTTTCGTTATCTTAGGCCAACCTCCATCGCGAGCAGCTGTTGGGTAATAGCTGCGTCCCGACACATTGATGCTTCTATCCAGACAGCGAACTGTAGGATTATACCCCATACCTACCAACCGTAATCAAAAATGTCCACACCATGAGGCATAATGCCATTCTTTGATCATCAAGTGAAAATCTTAAATGCATAGTTGTTGCGAAATCTAAGATTTTGCAAAGTTGAGTTGTTTGGAGTGAAATACTGCTGATTCAGATCCCCTCACTCAAGCACTATTTTGTCAATCAGAAGTTGGGGTGGAAAGGGGCATTCGATGCCTATCTAAGGTCGCAGAAACAAAACCCACAAAAAATTTGGGATCGAATAGAGGAGATAATTTCAGAGGTAAAAGATCAACTCTCGCTTCATATGATTATTTTGTAATCTTGCAGGTCTTCCAAAAGCAACAAGTGAAGATGTTACATGCTTTGAAGGCACTGCCGTCAAAAGCAAATTTTTTTGAACTGAGCCGATTTGATTTCGTAGTCGATGAGGATCTCAACGTTTTTCTCATGGAGGTAATAGAAGGTCGTGTAAATATAAATGGAAAATCCCTCCTAGGCCAACATGTCTCCAAATCTCTCATCAGGACATTTCGCTCAGAATCAGATTCTCTACGAGCAAGTGCTCTTCAACATTTTTTCACTCGTTGGCATAGCATCTGCGTTCACCAAGGATATTCGCGAACAATCACAGTAAGTATTGTAGCTCATATAACACATGTTAAAAGGAGTTTCTAGAGAATATAACAATGCTCGCAAATTCCTTGCTCCTGACCAAAGCATTTATTCATTTGCACACGAATGCTCAAGGTGCTCACCATGTGATGCGATGATGGTAAGATCTTCAAAGTTTACAATGTCTCATCGCTAGCTGAAATGCACTATTTTGTAGCCATATTGCCATGGAAGAATGTTGTCAACCTTTCTTTACGCCTGAAATTGGGTAGAACGCAGTGGTTGCCTTTTTTCTTCGAGGGAAAGGGCAAGAAAATGATCTCTTAGATGAATCGACGTAGCTTATCAAAACTCTAAAAAAATTTTGGATATAAGAAATTACGGATATTTTGAAACAATTGCGAACCTCAATACTCCTCTGCAGAGCTATTCATTTTTACAAAAACAAAATCATACTGATCAATTTCGCCCCTTCCCCCCACCCGCCCTCTCCACCTGATCTGCCAGAAGTAGAGCATGACGGGCAGCGAACGAATTGAGAACTGTGCGCAGGAGTTCCCGACATCAGAGTGAATATTGGAAATTAAGGAGTGCCAGCTTTGTGCTTCTTGTATGGCGCCAGCTACACTCTCTTTTTTGAGAGCAACTTCCATAGAGCATTCAAGTAAACAGGATATGAAGATGCTCAATTTCGACGAAAAACAAAAAGTGAGTTCCATTGATGCAAAATTTGAGTAGTAATCTAGATTTTACAGCCACTCACCAAGGAGGACCATCTGCTAAGGTTGTGGAGGAGAGTAAAATGTAAGCATGAACAATCATGGTGTTGATAAAGGAATAACCGGTATCTTTGTTCAGTACAAAAATAAAGGTAAAAATGCTGAAAACCTTGATAAGCAGTGACAATTGAGGAGGAAATGAGGAGATCCCAGAACAATTAAAAACAACAAAACAACGGAGTTCTCTAGAGAGTCATGCTCACGGAGGTGGGAAGTTACACATAGTACCAGAAGAATCGAGAGCCGAATAAATAAAGATGTTCTGTAGGGGTCGTTCATTCTCTGACATGGCCTAAACATTGAATAAGCATGCGAACATATTAGAAAAAAGATTTAAGATAACTGTTCTACCTTAATCGCTTCTTGACCAGCCAATCCTCCCACTATTGCACACACCGGAGATAACTGAGGTCCGAAGAAGCTTAGAAAATATACATCGGCGCAAACTTTAGTACTAGGTTGTAACATAAGTTGTTACACTTCAACCTTTACATTGGTAAGTCATATACCTCACATTTTTTATAAGGCTCCAGGGTAACATTCGATGGAGCAAAGCAAGCTCTACAAGATAGTGTGTGAAAGTTTGCACCAGCTTCGATCCACCATAAGTTTAATCCAGTTTGAGTACTGAAGGCTCAAAAAACTTTGAAAAATTCATATCATCATCCAAAAAAATCCTACGAATCTCCAACTTGCTAACGCAAATTCCATACATCAGACACTCATATGTACCGTCGATGGATTTTTTCCTCATCTAAAAATCGAGAAAATGAAGATTTCATGCTTATACAAAAACGAGCTATGCTGTCTCCATTCATGTATGTGTATACTACAAGCCCTTAGAAATATAATCGCAAATTTTCAGCTTTCCACTAGACCTAGTTTTCGAAAAATATTGGTTTTAGGATGGAACACCCGTGTGAGGAGAGCTACATTCGGTGATTTTTGAAAACTAGAGCCTGTGAGCAATTTGGCGATCCGTAGGATATTTTCGAACAAAGAGATGAATTTCCCCGAATTTTTAAGCCTTCAGTACGGCTCAGATTCTGGATGCAAGCTTAGAATGGGTCGGAGCTGGTGCAAACTTTCACGCACTATCTTGTAGAGGTTGCTTTGCTCCATCGAATGGTACCCTGGAGCCTTATAAAAAATGTGAGGTATATGGCTTACCACCGTAAGAATGTAAGGTGTAACAAGACTTATGTAATAAACTAATAATTCTGTGACGGAATGACCTCTAATCAAGGAAAAAAACAAGAACATGAAACTTACTATTCAAAAGTGTCAGCTTGCACAGTTTGATTCTCTAATTCATGGTTGGCCTTTAACACCTAAAATGAATTGCATATCAAGAGTCGAGCTTACAAAAAATCAACACAAATCCACTACACCTCTTCCGTCCAAAGTTCTCCGAGCACTTTCACATTTGTCTCCTCGTCGTCTCCAAGCTTTTCCTCTTTTTGAGCGCGCAGCATTGCTAAATTTGCCATATTTACAGAGATACGAGCTAAAGCAAATAAATCGTGACAACTCCTGCCTTTGAGAGGAAAATAGCTACATGGTATGAGTCTTCGACTTTTTCGCACATACTGCTTTTTCGACCAGTCAACATTGAAAGCCTCCTCTATCGTTGGATATGAGAACTTCTAAAAACATATAAAGTGATAGAGGCTAAAAATGTTCTAAAACGCTACATCCCTTATGATAACCTATTTTCACTTAGGCGCATGACTTTTTGAGCAAAATGAGAAGATCCTCACTTCAAAATGTGATATACAAAGGAGGGGTGTATGCCAAGAGGCGCGACTCTAATTGACAGACACCAATCAGCACATATTAAAGGCACCGTCCACCCTAAATTGAGGTGTTCAGCTTTTGGCAGCATATAACAGTAGGGCCCCCTATGAATCCAATGGCCAAGTCGCGGCGCAAATTAGCGGAAGCGAGAAAATCGCTTTGGAATAGCGAAGAGCCGCCCATCTGTGCGCGCCTAACCAATCACCGTTCCGGAAAGCCGGCCTGTGGGTTCCCCGGAACGGGAATTGTCGGGATTTTCGCTCATTCTCAACTTCATATTCGGAATCAGGGACACGAGAAGGCCCTGATACGACAAAAACGTGGAAGTCGGAAATCTGGGTGGACGGTGCCTTTAAGTGTTCTTAATTGTCTAAATATACAGGGCTTATCAGACACAGTGTCGCTTGCATCAGCATCTCCACTCTTGCGCTGAACTCTGCTTCTCTTCCGGAACATGCTCTCTGATCACTTTCCCAGGGCGAGCGTGGGAAAGGCGGAGCCTCAATCGATTGGAAGTGATTAGAGAGCATGTTGGTGGAAGAGACGCAGAGTCCAGCGCGGGAGTGGAGATGCTGATGCAAGCGACACTGCGTTTGATAAGCCCTGTATACTTACTTAGATACTTAGATGGCCCGGCTTCACGTGACGTGCGGGCCCCAGCTCAGAAGTTTCCATTTTTCCCTGTCCCTCGCTTCTGACATCCACGAGTTCCAGGTGCAAAAATCGTATCCAGCTGATTTCTCAGCTGGTCCATCCGTTCCACGAACACGTCTGCCCATCTCGTTGGAGGTCTTCCTCGGGGACGTTTGGCTTCGCGAGGAATCCACTCCGATGTTCTTAGTGTCCATCTGTCGTCTGTTCTTCTCATTATGTGACCGGCCCATCGGTGTTTGGCTTTCGCGACGTATTCCGCTGGGTCACGAAGACGGGACATTCTTCTCATATCCGTGCTGCGAAGTCCGACTAGATGTTGCTTGCGTCGGGTCATCTTCAGAAGACTGCGCTCGAGCGCTCTGTGGGTGGTCCGTAGAGCTTTCGACGTGGCTACAGTGTCCGCCCAAGTCTCAGCTGCGTAACAGAGCGCCGGGAGAACGGTTGAGTCGAACAGGTGGGCACGAAGCTCCGGGTCCGTCAGTTGGTCGGTGGCTTCCTTCAGGGGCCCGAAGGCGGCCCAGGCTGCTCTTCTTCTCCTGTTGAGTTCTTCCCTCAAGTCGTTCTCCATGTTCATCGAACGTCCGAGATACACGTAGGAAGACGTCTCCATAATCGGGGTGCCTTCCAATTCCATTTCTGCATCTTCGCAAAGGGCGTTCTTCATGAACTGAGTCTTCTTCCGATTTATTCGCAGTCCGATCTTCTTCCCTACTTCGTTTAGTTCCTTCAGCATCGTCTCTGCTTCGGTGATACTGCTCGAGAAGAGAACGATGTCGTCCGCAAAACGAAGGTTGGACAGGAATCTCCCATCAACTCGTATGCCTCTCTCGTCCCAGTCCAGTGACTTCATCACCCACTGCAAGGCCGCGGTGAACAGCTTCGGCGAGATTGTGTCGCCTTGTCGGACCCCCTTCCCGATTGGTATGGTCAGGGGGCGATGGAATAGCTGCATCGTCGTTGTACAGTCCTTGTAGCAGTCGGCTAACGTCCTCACGTAAGCTGGGTCCACTCCTTGATCGACTAGCGCAGACAGGATGGCGTTGGTTTCGACGCTGTCGAAGGCTTCCTCGTAGTCGACAAAGGTTAGGACGAGAGGCAGTCGGTACTCCCGGCAGACTTCTATGACCCTCGAAACGGTCTGGATGTGGTCCATGCAGCTGAATCCTTTGCGAAATCCAGCTTGCTCTTGGGGTTGGGCTTCATCCAGTGTCCTTGATATGCGAGCGAGGATAATCTTCGTGAAAAGCTTGTACAGCACACTCAGCAAGCATATTGGACGATAGTTCCGAAGATCCTCCCGTTCGCCCTTCTTGAAGAGAAGGACGGTTCTTGACGTTCTCCACTGGTCGGGAATCTTCTCCTTCTGAAGGTAAGATGTCAAATGCGACGCTAGAATCTCGTGTAGACGGTGTCCTCCGGCTCGCAGAAGTTCGACGGAAAGATGATCTGGTCCTGGAGCCGTGGACGTCTTCATGGTCTGTATCGCGATACGCACTTCAGCAGGCAGAATTCGTGGTGGTACTTCTCCAGTGGGAACAACGGGCATCTGCACGGGTGTTGATGAGCGGAAGAGGTTGGTGTAGAAGTTCTTCGCGATAGATTCCATCTTGTATCGGGAAGAAGTCGGAGTCCCGTCTTCGTTCAGTAGTGCAGCCAGCGGTACGTGATATTCGCAGAGGTCCCTTCAGCACTTCTTGAGACTTCGTCTTCTTTCTGCTGCTTCCAGTACCTTGGCTTGCCTGTACTTCCTGAGATCCTCTTGCAAAGCTGTTCTGCAACTGGTGTTGGCAATCAGTCGCTCAAGATGAGTTGTATTCCTGCCTCAATGATCTTCTTCTTTCGAGCAATTCCTTGGTGGTCTTCGAGATGCGGTCCAAGTTCTTCTCAGAAGTCACTGAGGCGCATTCTCCGCAGGCTCGCAATCCTTTCAGAAGCCGGTCGTAGTCGTACGTTGGGTCCTCCTCGATGGGCCAGTCACAACTTGATGAGCTCTTCCAGCCTGTTACCGTCATAAACGACTTCCTTCCTTCTCGCGGCACTATGACAGACTTTCTTTTCCAGCATTCGGCTGAGTCGTATCTTCGCTCGAAGGAGGCGGTGATCGGAGCCACTACAGAAGGATGGAACTACAGAGACATCGAGTAAGCTCCACCTTCGGTTGGTGAGAATGTGGTCGATCTCCGCGTGGGTCGTTCCGTTGGGCGATTCCCATGTCCACCGGCGATGTTCCTTCTTCATAAAGATGGAATTTCCATGGAAAAGTCGTGCGGCGGAGAGAAGCCCAACAAGACGGTTGCCGTTTTCGTTCCGGAGCCCATATCCAAACTTCCCGATCCTATATTCCCTTTCCAGTGGCATCCCGATTTTCGCGTTGAAGTCGCCCATAACAAACTTGTAAAAGGACTTCTCGTTGCGGACGACCTCCTCCACATCTTCGTAGAAAGCATCTAGTTCTGATTCGTCAGCTGCTGATGTTGGAGAATAGCAGTTGATGATGCTGATGGTCTTCTGATGTGGAGGTCGTAGTCGTAGGATGCCTAGTCGAGGTGATAGGATCTCGTGCGAATCGACAAGATGGACGATAGATGGGTGGACGACAAAGCCGACGCCTCCCACGTTTCGTGATGGAACCTTTTCACCACGAATGATGAGGGTCCCATCACTCATCTGTCGCACGTCCTTCTTCCTGGACTTCGTTTCCTGCAGAGCAATGATGTGGTAGTTGATGTGCTCTGCAGCGTCGAGAAGAGCGTGGAGGTCGGCGTTTGTGGAGACTGTCCTGGCGTTGTAAGTGCAGAGCATGAGGCAGTCTCCATGGTGTGTCGTTTTTGTCCAATCCGAAAGGCGCCCTGAGTACCCTGACATCGTTCTTGCTACCACCCGGCGCCGTAGGCGGGATCCGATGTACAGGGTTTTTTCTAAATCTTCTTGCTGTCTGAGTAATAAAATTTGTTCCCCTACAAGAGGTGGCTTACTAGGCCTACTCTTGATTTCCACGGGGTGATCGCTGACCCCGGGCTCGGAGCGGGGAGGGACCGCCTAGCGACCAGAAGAAGCCAGACGGCGGAGAATCTGGCGCGGCCAGTTCTTAGCTAGGCATCCGGCCGAAACCGGAAACGTCGAACTCCTTCACAGCTTGGGAGGCCCTACCAGAGTATACACTCGGCTGTGCATCGCAGTTCGACACCCAGTGTCACCCCCACGCCACGATGAGGCGACCGACCATTGTGGGGGTGTATATTAATAGCCCTGTATATTAATATATATATATATATATATCAGTGGCGGACCGAGGGGGGCGCGCCCCTCCCCCCCGAGAATGGGTCGCGAAATTTTTGAAACTTACCTATTTGGGTTGTAAAAATGTGCAAACGACTTGTTTGCACTTGAAAAAAATTAAAATAATTTTTAAAAAATTTTAAAAATTCATTTTAGCCTTATAAAAAATTTTGAAAAAAGGGGGCGTGGCTTACGCCACGCCCCCTTTTTTCAGACTTTAGGGGTCGGGGACCCGCAAAAATTTTAAGAAGCACCCCAAAAAATTTTTCGGAGTGCGTGGCTAACGCCACGCACCTTCTTTAGAAAAAAATTTTTGCCGCCCCCCCCCCCGAAAAAAATTTCTCGGACCGCCGCTGATATATATATATATATATATATATATATATATATATATATATATATATATATATATATATATATATATATATATATATATATATATATATATATATATATATATATATATATATATATATATATATATATATATGAATTCTAGGAGGCGATATATTAGATAGATGATGTTGTTCAATCTTAATACCTTGGAATCAATTCAAAACAGCAATTTTGAGGGTCAAAAATTCATGAAACTGCAGTTAAGAACAAATCCGTAGATATTTCGTCGTATATTCGATCCATTTTCCAGCGAAAGCCACCAAACTCAGCATGCGGTAACCTCATACAGATAGTAAGCCAATGCACTCCATCTGGCACTTTTTGAAGGCTCGCATAACACTAGACTGGAGTTTTGGTTCTCGGTGACAACCGGATAAATCGCGCCTCTTGACCGTCTCTCCAATAAGAGCAGCATCTTATCCCTAACTCAATAACAATTTGGAAACAATGGTGACAACAATCACTGCCACAAAGCTCATGTAAGTGAATCTGACAGAAACCACCAAACAAGAGTGTCACAGATCTTACACGCAATGCATAGCTTACCATGGTGTTTTGGAGGTTTCATATTGTACTATCCTGCTATAATTTCAAAAATGAGAACAACGGAACTAGCCTTTCTCTCGATTACATTCTCGGCATCAACATCGATGGCATTCAGGAAACTAGAACTGGCAGCACCGTCGCCATCACATACGGCATCCTTCTTTGTCACTGGGGCACTAAATACTTGCGTATACAGGGGCTAATTATGGGATGCATGGGCACATACCTTGAGAAGAAATGATTGTTGAAATCGAAGAATGAATAGCCCATCCAACCGAAGACGCTGCATGCGATGAAACTAGAAGAAATATTGCTGAGAGTTTTAACTCAAAGTCTTACACCTACACTGAAGGATGATAATCTGACATTTATTAGTGTTACTGACATTATCAAGCCTTACAGTCAAATGTGTGCTCCAAGTTCCAAGTTTGAGCGCTACTCGATGGATGTCAAAGGACTTGAGAAGAGCTTAAAGGCAGTGTCCGGGCAAAAACTCGATTTTGAGATTTTGTGCTTACTTGGGCCTATTCGCTACGCTGAATCCGAAAATGCACATTGTAGAGCGCGAAAATGGCGAAAAACGGCTCTAACACAGGAGGGAAATGAGCAGGTGGGCGGGGCCCTCCCCACTGCGAATTCACGTTCCCGGCTTCCGGAGCGACCTTCTCTCTTCCGGTTTCAAGTCAATCATTCGCACTTGACCGGTAGCGATGTTAGGACGGCTAGCGGAATCGAGAAAATCGCTCCGGGAGCCGGGAGCGTGAAATCGCACTGGGGAAAGCCCCGCCCACCTGCTGATTTCCCTCCTGTGTTAGGGCCCTTTTTCGCCGTTTTCGCGCTTTCCAATGTGGATTTTCGGATTCAGCATGGCGAATAGGCCCGTATAAGCACAAAATCTCAAAATCGAGTTTTTGCCCGGACACTGCCTTTAACTTAGAGAGCTTACAAGGAAAGGATATTCGGTCGAAGTGGCGTTTCCATATGAGATGTATATTATTTTACTAGCTGGCTTGCCCGGCTCCGCCGGGCCTGCCAGCTAGACCCGTGTACGTATGTTCCGAATAGAAATTTTTATCTCTGAACCGATCGGGACCAAACTTGGCACACATATACTTCAGGGCAGGGAGCGTGTCATAGGCTACTTTTCGTTATCGATCGATGTCGATTTTACCGATTTTTTGCAAAATTTGAGCTAGGGGGCTAGGATTTTGCACAGGGGGGTAATCGAGCATGCTGATCACCCCTTCGGGGTGATCAGCATGCTCGATTACCCCCCTCTGCCAAATCCCAGCCCTCTAGCTCGAATTTTGCAAAAAATCAATAAAATCGATATCGATCGATAACGAAAAGTAGCCTATGACACGCTCCCTGCCCTGAAGTATATGTGTGCCAAGTTTGGTCCCGATCGGTTCAGAAATAAAAATTTGTATTCGGAACATACGTACATACATACAGACAGACAGACATACAGACATACAGACAGACAGACAAACAGACATTCAGCTTTATATATAAGAAGATACAGCATTGTATGCTGATTCCAGATCTGCTTTCGTTATCTGCAAAGCGCTTCTGGGAGGGGAGTTCTGGGAATTTTTTGAAGTAGAAATTCAATGGTTGGCTAAGGTAAAAACAGGTGTTGAGGTCTTTCCGGCGCTTGAAAAGAGTAAGGACTAAAATGGGTTTATTAGATTGAAGGTCTTTATTCCATAAAACGCCTTGGTAGTAACCATGGCCCCATTTAAGCTCACGGACTTGTTTTATTGTAGCGGCCCTCTCATTTTTTGAGTCAAAAAATTTCCGTAACTCCCCTCCCAGAAGCGCTTTGCAGATACCGAAAGCAGGTTTGAACTCAGCGTTCCGTACTCTATAAAATAGTATACATTTGAATGGAAACGCTACTTCGACCAAGTATCCATCGCTTGTTAGACAACAGGCACATTCTTCTGTGCCACTGGCTGATGAGGAGAGATAACAGAAAACCTGAGAAATTTTAACAGCTACCGGCATATAACTTAAAATGATATAAAGTGTCCTTATATTGATAATATATGTATAGGCAAATAGAATGTTTGCTACCTAAAGATTTGTGGTTCACAAACTAGCAGGGGTAGCAGTTTACCTCTGAGCCTCATTTTCCCATTCGAAAACATCTTTTTGCTAAATGCAGTAACAACATAGCTAAGGAGTAAAAAGAGAAACTTTCAAATATTACACGAAGCCAGTCCAATAAGCGGAAGAGCAAGGTACAACCAAGTATCATAATATGTAGCTTTAGTTGTCACTCCTCTTAGATGGAACTACATCTTATAATCGTTCCCTACAGTAGGTAAAAATTCATAACATTACTTACCCGACATTACGTTCGTGACATTTGCCATTCCAAAACACTACATCGGGATACTTCTGGTCACAAAGAACCACAAGAGTGAACTTGGAAACAAAATCAATGGTCATGTTACTGACACTTGTCTCCAAAATCTAAAACGACCGTTTCCACAAGATTAAGAATCAGGGAAAAACGAACAAACTGACCTCAAGCTTAACCATCGGATTGAGGGCTTGCGCTTTGTGCGAAGATGCTCTTGCTCGCTTAAAATACGTTGTTAGATAATATCAACTACCACACACGTCCTAATCTTACGTTCTGGCCCACAGAGTCATTTTCGAGCAGAAAATTTGATTCGAGATCATCTTGGACTACATTCTTCTCGTCTGCCAAGGTCAATGAATGTATACCGCAAAGTATGAGATTCTTGGAAATTTCTGCGCCTACACCGGATAACCCACAAAGAAGAACGTTGGCAGCTCGTAGTCTGCAGGTAATTGAAATGATATTTGAACAATCGTTGAGAATCCAATTTAACTACATACTTGTTCTGCGCTTCCATGCCCCAAAGACGGATTTGTCGATCGTAAACTTCCGTCTCAGCTTTAGTGAGCGTTTCGCTCCCTCCGCCTGATGCATCACCAGAAGAATCAGGTGCACTACCAATGGACATTTTACCTGTAATTCACCGATTTAGAATGCCCGGTCAGCAAATAACGATGGCAAGGATAGGGTCAGCCTCGTATCGGGAAATAGGCAAAGGTGCACCGTTAGTGTAGATGATTTATGCAGTTATACACACACTTCTGCTAACGCACCCTCCATGTTTGCATTTGGATTACCCTCCAGTTTTTTGCACTTTCTTGGCACGATTCCGACCAAACGAAAGCTCGTTCACCTAACTGTTACGAAAGTTCTTTTTTAAATCCCATGCCTCAATAAACAATGAAGGGCCTTGGTTCTTTCTGGCCTTGGTCTTGGAATTCATACTTGATAACTTCGTGAACTTTCGTGGCTTTTCTGCTTCAATTACCTTTACTCTCTCAAACTGCTCACGTAGGTATTGAATATGATCGAGCAGTATTTGTGTCAGACTTAACCACAGATATCAACAGACCCAACCGCTCATTTGCGGATAAACAAAACATTGATGAATATTTATATTATAAATCTCAAATACTAAGAACTCTGTTCAAAATCGGTTCTTAAGACATAAAATATTCTTATCTCAACTACACGTTAGTCACGAATCTACCTTCAGCTAATTTGACAACAACAAACCAGTGCTTTTTGACAATTGAGAAGATTACATCAGCAAAAAGCGAATGCCTGTACAATGTCGCAGTTCCTATACCCGGAAGTTATTAATATAAGTTGCTGGATAGCCATGAAAATATAGGCTTGTGAAATCGAGGAACGATCTATAACAAGAAAGAGTCATCCAAATCCAATTTCAGAAAATGGAACAGCACAAGGCAATTCAATATCAGAGGGAACGCAATCATGTGTACAAAATCATAAAGGAAATTGGGCAGGAAACAAGATTTCAGTAACAACACTAAATGACCGGGTATTACTCTTCTATCATGAATTGGCGAGGAGATAAAACACAGACTGACTTGCCACATGAGCACCGTATGCCCTGGAGATGATTGTCACACCAGCAATGAATGGAACGATTTTGGAGTAAATAGTGACTCATAAATTACGGATAAAGAACAGTGAATTCTAGCTAAGAGCATGAGCACTTGGTGCATTGCCCCATCCTGTCACTGGAACGCCATCTCGGAATCCTGTTGGAGAACTTATAGCGTTTGGAGAATTGACTTCCCGTTTAATGAGAGTAGTAGGAGCCTGAAATGATGATCCAAATGAGGAATGAAGGAGTTTATTGAGCCAAGAGGTACAATACACGATTGCGTTTCTATAGATGCAAGCTTGCAGATCAAAGCCGAGTCGAAGTCTTCGATTCAATGATTCGAGTGCACTCTTCAAGCCATCGGAGAGAATTGTCTCACAAGGGAAGTTCGCTGGGTCGAAGTGGCATTTGGAAGGTGATGTACAGTGATTAAGACGTAAAACACTGTTCTCAAATATACCTTCAATATCTGCGACGCGTTTTTCTAGGTGCAGTTATGGGCTTTTTTGTATGTGTAACGGAAGTAATCTAGAAAAGAAATGACGACCTGTGGATAAACAACATGGTCGGAAGACACTCGAAAACGTTCGGATGGACTCAATTTAGACCTACAATGCTTCCTTGCTGGTTTGCTCAAGCTTGCACACCTTTGTGTAGAAATTATCATAATTTCGCGACTCAAATTGCACGAAAATATGGCATTAGAAAAGCTCATAACTTTTTCGAGAACAATGCATCGCAGATGTAAAAGATATATCTGATATCAGCGAATTAAGCTCTATCCACTGGTATAAATCGCATTCCGAATCGCCACTTCGACTAAGCGAACTTCCCTTGTTAGTCAATTCTCTACAAGTTTATAAGCCTTGTTATTGTGTAAAATGTTTACAGATGAAATGAAAACCGAGTTTTGTGACCTAAGACAAACAAATACAATCGCCAACATTCTTCTCCCTATACGATAGCCGAAGACAGGTTCCAAACGTATATTCGACCAAAACTGTAATCCCAGATTTGAGTTTTCAGATCATTCTTAGTTCTCATGGACGTACAAGGTCTTACTCTCCATAGATTTTGAGTTAAAGGACTGCTGGAATAGCGCAAAAGAAAAGCGGGCTCTCCGGAGAACTTCCGCCAACTGCACTGAGATATGGACTTCGGTGCGTACTCATCTCACTCTAGCAGCCAAATGCTCCGGGCATCTCCCCTCGCCCAGCACTCTTCATTCTCCATGGATCGAAACGAAAAACTTTTATCCTAACAAGGGGATGGTCAGAAGTCAAAGTGGCCAATTCACAAACTGCATACCATTCGATGCAGCATATAACGCTGACTTTAAATCTGTTTTCTGTATGTGTTAAACTCTTTGGAGGCAAAGCTATAAGCAGTTTTTAAGGGAAAAAATCGGACATGATTACGAAATTGAGCATATAATGCCCTTTCGACTCACCTTTGGCTGTGTACTATATGAAGTAAGCTAGCTGCACGATGGCCCGGGCGAAAATGACTCTGTACGTCCAAATTTAGCACAATTTCTTAGCAAAATAACGGCCCTTAATGACTTAAATCTTCGTCCACAAAACAGTTCAGGATAAGGCAGATTTAAAATCAGTGTTTTATGCTGCATCTGGTGTATGCAGCTTGTTTGTTTGACCACTTCAATTTCTGTATTTTCTTGTGAGAAACCTGTGCTACGCTTAAGATAAGCACATTTATAAGGTAGATTGAGGCAAATCAATTACGGAACAAACAATGCATATACATATTTCAACTTACCTTTCCTGGTCGGGCCCATGTACAGATGAAACCTTCCTGGCAAGCCGTGACTAGACAATCTTTTCGGAATTCAAGTACGGTCAATCGCTCATGGGCAATTTTTTTGCAAATCAAAGGTTCTGGAATATAAAGAATATGAGGCAAATCACCTATTGCATCCTGATTTATTGCAGAGTAAAGCTGCATTTCACAAGGAAGCGAAGCTATCAAAGTCGGATACCCACAGTCATTTCATAAAGTCCCTCAAATAAAGATGGAAACCATCCCTTAGCTTGATTGTAATCAAAGCACACTGTTTCAGTGAGATGAATAGTAGTTACTACCTCAAAATAACTGCCTTCAAAGATTATCAAATACTTCTTAAATTTGCGCTGCGTTTGGCTCTGATTACTGATAAGATTTCCCGGCCAATAGTAAGAAAAGCACAGCAAACCAGTATAGGTGATGTAAGCGCGAAAACAACATTTAGAAGGACTAACTTCTCATAAACAGTACAAGCCTGCAAGATTTATACAAAGCCGCATACCGATTACAGGCACATCTTCCATTCGAGGGCATACTCGTGTTCCAAGCAATCTAGCCTCATCCAAAGCTGCAGAAGACAACGAGGCAGGCGATTCTAGTCGACGACTAAAAAATGTCGCACAAACTTCTGTTGGTGAGGCACAAGGGATTTACTGAGTAATACCGATCACTGCTTGAACCACCGAGTCGTCCCAGTGTGAAACCTCGACGATGAAACCCTCGTTTTTTCTTTGGTTTCGCGGAATCGGCAGACTGAGCTGGTGAAGCTTCACATAGCGGATCGAGACGGCTGGAGGAAGTCTAAAATGAGAATTGTTTTAGATAGATAGCGAGCATCGAAATGACATAAGAAGAACGTGGCAAGTTGCGCCTTATCTGGTTCAGATCTCTAAGTGGCTGTAAACTAGATGCAGAAGGTGTTCAAAGTCTAAATCGACCAAAGATGGATTTCAAGACCAGGTTCCTCGACAGAAATGAAAGAAGAATCAAACGATTATGAGTTTCAATAAAAAGATCCTTATATGCGCATTGCCTGTTGGATGATAGCATATCATTACACCATTTGTGCAAACGAGTGTTACCTGAATTTCCAATCCTAGCATTGGAGCAATGATGGTTGAATTTCGATGTCTTTGCACATTCGCAGGCTGAAATAGTGAATTTCAACCTCACTTATTATTCACAATGCTTTTGAGCAACGATACCAATATAAGTGACCTCAAATTCGAAATTCTGCGCATTTCTTTGTTAAGATACTTACACGTAGACATTGTAACCACAAGGAAGTTATAGCGAAGATCGGTTAAGCACCTATCATTTCTCTTCTCTATTAAAAAACAATCTCAATTATAGAAAACACTTCTAGAAGGACGCAGTAGAAGGACTGCCCACAAGATCAAAAAGCAAATCATAATGCGGCACATGATATTGAAAAAGGATTAAAGTACAGGCAGATATAAAGAGATAGAATGCAAACATAATCCATATTAAGGACAAAATTTATCAGATATTAAGGAAGCATACTATGCGACTGCTGCTCACAATTATAATGACTATTATAATTCCGAGCAACTATGATAATCATTATCAACTATAATGGTCATTATAATAGTCACTGACAACTACTGAAAAACAATGAAAGACAAAGATATGCTTTTTAGTTGTATGTACACTCACCTTCAACATATCCTCCGTTATGTCCCAAAGACATAGCTGAGTATCATGCCCAACACTTCCGATACGATAACATAATCCACCGGTACCCTGCGATATATCTATTATATGTTATCAGAACAACAATGAAGAGCAAAAAACGCACATGCCCAGTCCCATTGATTGTACCAAAAGAAGCGAAGGAACATCTCGAGAATGAAGAGGTTTGCAATGGAGGCCTTCTCATATTAGCTAAAACAACTATCAATACAAAATGACACCAAACTGTGAGGATATGCACCTCTGATGACCGGAGTAGGAGCGTTGCTGTCCTGACCATTCACAAGTGTTCCTGCACTATGTGCAGACTTTTCATCGTCAGAGTTTGCATCCAAAGCTCCAATACCATTTATTTCATGCTCACCGTCAACGTTACACATATACGGGTCAAATTGCACCTAAAAATAATCTTGACAAGGATACGGCATGAAACTTTCAAGCTTGAAATCTGCAGAAGCACAACAAATGAATTCACTCCGGGAGTCCAGTGATCAAAAATTGAGCAAAAATTTTAGTAAAATGACCTACTCGTAGGTAACAACTATCTTGAAACTTCACAATAACACATGGTGCATCAAATCCTTTTCGCACTTCCGAGTCAACACTAACATTATAAAGAAAGAACAACTTTTGAGGAATGCGTACCTGCGATATCCAGCTTTTATGTCCTTGTCCCCGACAAATTACTCTCTTCTCCACCACGTTATAGACTGTAAGCAGATCATCTTCACCACCAGTCACTATAAGCTTAGCATCAGGGCTCCAAGCAAGCGTAAGTAGACCGCCTAGAAGTTAAGTTTCCAGAGCCAAGATACCACCCACTGTTTTGTGGAAGTCACTGAACAATGCACTTACCGAAATAAGATTTCATGTATGAAAGCAGTTCCATTTGATGGTAATTGAAAATTCGTAGATATCCATCCTTAAGAGATTAAGAAAACGTAAGATAATGTCATTGAAAAATGCAGCGAGGTTTAGCAACTTACATGACCTACTGTTGCCAACATTTTCGCATCCTGGCCCGAAAAAGCGAATTGATTAATGCCTCCTTCGCCGATTTGCCAACGATAAACAGGGTTTCGCGTGGTCTTGGCTTTACATGTATAGACCGCATATTTATCTCCCTAAACAGAGAAAAGCACCTTTTGAGTTATGCATGAAACTCTAAATACCTGCTTGAAGGTTTGATAGACTGGAGGGGCGACGGGACATTGAAGTTCCTCATTGTAAAGATACATAAATCCACTTGTGTAGGAAACAAGGAAATGTTGACGTTGACCTACAACTTTTAGAAACATGCACCAGTTATGAGAACAGCACAACAGACATATGAATGTAACTAAACAGATAGCTCGAATAACAAACAAAAAACATACCGGGCACCCAACGCAAACATGTCACGCCAGTTTTATCAATGAATCGCTCTTCATTATACAGACGACTGGCCTGATACTCTTTGTGAAATGGATCGATCAGCTGAATTTGACCAGCGGAAAAGCCAATGATCAAACTAAAAAGGATGCTGGAAAAATGAGGAAAAAAGGGAATTTCAAGTTCCACACCTGCAGCTTGTAGTAGTTGCAGTCTCCTGATTGAAATGGTGACAAGTCGGATACGTGCCCTTGTAAACGCGTTTATCGATTGGTTTACTCAGATCTGCTGCTGTGTGGATACCTCTGAGAAAATCAGTTAAGAAACTTGCGAAGCATCTAACAATCAGATGTGCGACTTACTTGTAAAGATAAACGTATAATTCTCTGCCCACGTTGAAACATATACGATCGGCGGTAGCCAACTCCTCACGGTAATTTTCATCAGCATCCAAGAAATCTTGTTCCTAAATGTTACCTTCAGTATGGGAAAGATAATGTCTTGATTTACCTCTGCCCTAGATGAAGGTGTCTTGCTTCCAGAATTCATTGATAGAAAAGAAACTCTGACTGGCGCACCAGCGACATTCGCAGTTCCAGGCTGCATCTAAACCAGTTCACATAATTTCAAAAGTATAAGAGAATGTAAAACAACTGCCTGGTTCATCGGAACCCTGTTTGGTCGCGAATACTCCGCCATAGTCATTAATTTGTACGTTCCTTCCCTGGTTGTAAAATGTGTTTTGAGCTCCTCCTTCGGTTGATTCAAAGCGTGGTTGAGTAAAGCACCTGCGAATTAAAGGATCGGAATTAAATTTAAATTTCAGACACTGGTGAATCTGAACTGCAACAAAAGAATGGGTGAGAAAAAGTAAACCGAACGGAAAAGAAAAAGTTATTAGTACAACGCAAATTTTGCAGAAAAATATTTCATAGTCTCTCAGTTTTTACCATCACACTATTTACAAATATTGACCATGGACACATAGATAAAGGTAATGTTACAGAAATGATAGCAGCCATGACACCAATCGATGTTGGTGTTTATAGCATGTGTTTATGCACATGCATCTACGCACACCCACAGAAGTTTAGAAGAATCGATGGAGACTAAATATGCCATTCTAAACTTCTTTGAACACAATTTCATTCGAGATGACACCATCAAACTTGAGAGGCTTGAGCTCACAAACAATGATGGGATCACTGCTTGATATATGATAGCCGAGAGAAAACACCGAAAAAACATGTTGAGATGCAAACCATATGTACTGCTTTTTTGTTTTGAGGGAGTCAACGGCGAGAGTTTGACCCACGCAAGAGATCGATTTTATAGTGAAAGCAGTAAGAGCTACACCAAAGCTTGTCAGTAACTCAATAAAATTCGTTAATCGGAGCGCCTCCAGCAGTTATTGGACAGAACAAAATGAAAACGTCTGATTTTACCTTCTGAGAGAGCAGCGGTCGGTTGCAAACCACTAGTGCTCGCGAGAGATGATGACGGACCCAGCAAGTGATTGTGCATCATCATAACTACAACAAAGATTCGTAACATAAACAAAGGAAGCTGGGTAATTAGAGAATAGACAATAATGTGCCCTATCCAACGCAACCCTACACGTTTGGAAATGATATTTGAGAATTCTATGATCCGCCAAGGAAGCACTAATTGACAACACCATCCAGTCCCCAGCGATTTTAAAAAGCAAAGACATTCGTCATAACTCACTTCACGATTTTCGATTGCCTCGTCGTCATTCCGCATCTCAGAAAAGTCCCATCGCACGAATAAGATTTAACGTCGCAGTCGAACCCGGGACGGAAATGTTCACCAGCACGGCACTCCCAGTCTAGCCCAGTTCTGTTAAAAGCGTTGCGGCGCGAGCGTTGACGTTTTCTAGTCGCTTTCGAGCATGACAAGCGCTTTGGAGGGGGAACGTCCGGAAGGCGACAAATGACCTAGAACAGGCGCAGCTGGTGGCCACGCCCTGTCCGAGTTTCCCGTCGTTGGACGCACTGAATATTTGGATTGGGGCGCCCTTGGCGCCATCTATTCCTACCGGGCTGGCTGCGCGGGCGGTTCGCGCGCGGCAGCCGTGAATAGCGTTGGGGCGCGCATTATATGGATACGACATTGCCATGTACCGCCTTTCATCGGTTCAAATGTGCAAACAAAGATTTTTGCGCCTATCTCAAGATAACGGAGGCTGCGCAAGGCGATGTTAATGAAAACATTGGTTTCTACTTCAGTAACCGCTACCTCATTTTGTATTGCTTCTTTGACTAGCGCAGCCGAGGATACCCTGCAACTCCTAAGTGCGCCTCTTTATTTGGAACTTATTGCTTTATCATATGAAAGGGGAAAAGGTTTTAAGTGTGTTTGTGGCTTCTTCCTAATATGCGAATCTATTTGTTTCCCGTAATCCGCACATGCAAGCGTCAACATCAGTTGTGTGCCGGTGATCCTATATGTAAGAGTATGCATCAAGACTTAACAAACTAACATAATCCCATTATGCTGGATTAGATAAGTAAGGAGGTCAGAAGGTATACGAGAACGCTTGCGTCGCCTACATTTCGACATCAACGTTTTGGAATTCCACTAAATTCTCCAGCACTACTCAGCAAACTCAGCTTCGAGTAGCTTTTTAGCTGATTCCTTTGTTCCTTTGGACTTGTATAGCTGTGTTTTCGCAGTTAGAATACTAATGCTAACCAATAAGAAGATCATGGTTGCTAGAAAATATACAGCTCAGCCGACACTTTGGATGAAACAAGGAATGGCCCCACGGATTCTACGTTTGTGTGTTCTTCGCACATAAGTATTCTCTAATGTATGTATGCATCCGTGGTCGACTCATGAACGTCATGTCAGAAGCGTTCGTAAAAGCAAAGTATTGCTTGATGAACAATTAGCTTCAAAAATCCTACCTCTACTTGGTTGGAATCACTTATGAAACCGATATACCATGTAGTGTAGATTCGAAAACTACTGTAACTGACTACATTCCGTGATTTGCAAAACCTTACGCACTCTTCAAATTTCAATGAACAAGTGAGCATCAGATATTAGATTCACTAGGAATTCTGACTGTGGAACATAAGCGAACAATCTCATTACTTATGATTCAACTCGGTACACAATTGTAATGGTCTGACCCGATTAGCAAAAGTGAGCTTACGTCCACTACTTTGGAAAGGTTTGTTTTGTGATCAAGAGACTCAAAGTCAACGAATGAGATAAGTCACTAGTTAATAACCTCTTAGCAACGGCAAGGAAATCCTTGGAAAATGATGTATAGGAATAGTTCATGGGCGAACATTATGGCAGACAAGCTAAAGCCTTCATCAACATTGTTCTTTTTAGCTGGCATCTCATTAATGGGGTGAAGATCCTCCTCAGCACGTTTGGGTTAAGAGGCTAGTCTACCTAACGTCGCAATCATGGGAGGGATTGCGCGCCCCATGTATACGGGTATCGCGCGCGAACCGCCCGCGCAGCCAGCCCGGTAGGAATAGATGGCGCCGGGCGCCCTTATACACGTTGCGCATGGCTCTCATTTGTCTCCAGCTTCATCGTTTCTCGCATGGTTTTTTGTGCAGTTGCTTTTATTTCGCGTGTGTTACATACTATTTCTCACTATGGTAATTTGATAATTTGCTTTCCTTTGCATTTACCTATCCCTAAACATATGCTATTCAAAACTGCCTTTTGTGAAAATTTTTATTTCAGGTTCTGAAAGCGTTGATACAGTGCAAGTGGAAGATCAACATAGTAGGGAGGTTAGTAATTAGTTATCTGCGTTCTTGAGTGATATTATACTTTCTATTTTGTCATAAGTATTTAGTTAACTATTACATGCCATATTTTTATATGTTAGTCAATGCAGACCTCGTCTAAGTTGATGATGTGGAACGGGTAGGATGTGAGTGAACACCCAACAACTATACTATAAGCAGTTATATCAAGTAGAGGTGAACTATTCATCCTTTTGCATTATTTTAATAATTCGACTTTTCTTTAGGCTGAACATAGAAGAGATTTGGAGCACTTCGAGCCAGGACGCCATTTGCGATGGGGTCTCTACTTCGAGATTGTTCATGAGCATTTCATATTTTGATTTTTAGCTGTTGTTTGTAATACAGTGTAATGTGTTTGTGGTAATAACCATTTCCTTTTTCTTATTGTTAGCATAGCTGTTTTTTTTTTGTTGAGAATAAAGGATTATCCAAACTGTAGGACAGACAACTGCGCAAAAGAGCACGAGAAAAGCTAAAGGTAATAGAACTAATTATGGGAAGAATTTCTAGTTTGCTAAGCGGGCTGAGTAAATAGACAATTGGACTTCCGGCTAAAACATTTCTTATTCCTTCAAGTGAAAGGGAGCTGCTTTGCAAGAGTATGATCGTTTTGATTCATCTTGTCTGTTTGAACGATACCACACTCCGTGTGACAAGCTATAGTTGCAATGCATAATAACTTGGACATCCTTGTTCCGTATAAGGAGTCGGATGTGAAACTATGAATCTGAATGTGACAAATCGACTTCTGTAAACCAAAGAAAACTTGAAAAACGTGAAAGAACTGCACTTCTAGATCACAATAATGCGCTTTCTGATATTGATTTGCTTTCCCGTCTGTTAAATGGTGATTGCGATTATGTTTATGTTTCTCTCATTCGTTCTAGAGCTATATTGTTGGTAGGTCTGTTACGTTTGATCTTTTCAATCTTGAAATGGCAA